TCCCGATCGTCGAACAACCCCCTGTATTTATTGGCTATCGAACCGTCGATACGCACCCTTCACGCGCTGATGAACTCTCGATACCTCAAGTTCTCGTAAGATTTGCCCCGACGCCGCGGTGATCTTACGTGGAAGTCGCGACCGATTACGCTCGAACGCGAAACGTTCGGAGAATAGAATAAAATATTTTAGAGGGAGGATTGACTAGGCAGTTTACATAAGTGTTGCTGAAATCGTTAAGGAGAAACTAATGGGGGTAAATTACTGAAATGTTTAAATGGGAGAATGAAGATCGAAGTCTTAAGAAATTGTTTTGGATAATTCGTCTGGTATTCTTATAGGAGATTTGATGTTTTATACGAAGTTGTAATATATTGAAGAGATTCGATGTGATTTTGCTCCGCTTCAACACTTCGAAAATAATGTTAAGTGAATACTTAGAGAGCTATTAGTCCTATTAATGATTCTGTAACCCTGTTCAGGATGTAATACCATCGGCAAACCTCTTCCGCGTATTGATTTCCAATCATTCTTCACCATTTATTCCATGTCGGCAGTACAAAAACCGTCTACAATTATTAATAACTATTAAAATAACTAAACTACAGATTCTATGTATTTCTAGTAGATTGCGAATGTGCGGAAAAGAATATACAGAAAATTTAATCAAGTTTCAATATACCTAATCTTTAGGTATATGACAAATTCTGGTAACAAAGGAATTCTGTTTGATCTGTTAATCTTTATATTCATTATGAATAGACCATGAGCGTAGCCAGGGAGTGCAGTTGCCCCACCCTACAAGAAAGAAATTGGATTTTGCTCCTCCCCTCCCTTTCCAGAGTTACAAAATTGTTGCATAATATTTAACATTACAGTATAAGTTGAAACACGACCAACAGCCTTTATTAACAAAACGCATACATTTTCAACGATTACCATAAAAACAAAATAAAGTGTGTCTGACTACGAACATCCTTTTTCACTGTGGCAGTCGATGTGTAAATATTTTTACCCCCCCGCCTCCACTGATAACCTGGCTACGCCCATAAAACCACCAAGTTCGAAATTATTTATATTGGTCTATTCCCTAGATATGTAACTTTTTTATCAGAGTATACTCTAAAATAACTAACTTATAACTTGATGTTACAAGAAAATAAAATCATTAACGTGCGTAAAGTCCTTTTTGCCAGCGTATATCTACAACTCCCGAACCTGGCGGCCATCTTGACGCTACCAACCGAACGCAGCGCCGTAGCGGCAGCCACCGGAATTACGCGTCCCCTACACGCTGGATTCTCCACCCTAATCGTTTCGCCGAGCGCACGAGTATCCCCTTCCAATTCCTGTAGAGGAACGCGCACCTCCATCGTCGGATGCTCGCCTGGCAGGGTGGCGGGCATCGGCGACGCTTCGTCCCTCGAAAGGAACCGATAAAAACCTCCGACAGCATCTTTTTCTCGGGTAGACTTTCGACGAACGGAACGCCTGGAGACAGGCCGTGAGGGTACCTTGGTCCCCAGGTGATCGGCCACTTAAGCAACCGGCCATCTCACTGCGGCCAGGATCGTATGGGAAACGAGAGGGTTCCGCGCCGCGCGGGGCTGTGTCGCGGTTCACGCGCACGATTTATGATACCTCTTCACCCCTCCGAACCGCCACCCTCCCCCCTGGGTTCTTTGTTTTTCATGCATCTTTTTTTTTCTGTTCCCTTGACGGTCTCGAACGTGTGCACGCACACCGCGAACCCGGGTTATCGATCTCTGCCGATGATGGCTGACAGCGCCAACCCCGCCGCGCGCATATATCGTCACGTGCATATCCGCCCCCGTGGTCGGGGTTGCGACACCCTCGTGACGCCTATCGAAACTGTTCTCGTTCGGTTATACGTATGTCCTTATGGTAATTCGTCGACAGGGGTGATTGTCGCGACAATTATTGCCCGCTTGGGCTCATTCATTTAAGCATCTAGGAAACGGTGGGGGAAATACGGGTAAAGGGTTATCTCGGACATAGTGATATTCACCATTCTCCCCTTCTCCATGCCATGTTTTCTCTATTGTTGTTATCATATTTAGTGCCGAGAGCACGACGGAGAGTCACGTATAGGTAGTGCGTCGAACAAGTAAACATTTCATACATAATTTCCCATTGTCGTCTACATTGTTTTTAATGTACTACTTACAATGGAATATACAGGTTTTTTAAAAAAAAATAAATCTCTAAAAATTTAGAATATAAAGGGATGGTAATTTGTCTTGTGCTGTAGACATTGTACCATTGTCCTGATAAATATATACATTTAAACATACATACATATAAAAAAAGTTTATTAAATATTATTTTTGATAAAAAAGTCTGTAATCTTTTTCTGCTTTTTAGATTTAACTTCCTTTATTAATCACAGTTCACATGAATGTGAATGGTCGTAACTACAACTTGTTCTGTGACGACGAGATTAATTTTATGAGCTACAGAGAAAGAGGAGTCGGGTTCCTCGCTGAAAAACCACCCTCGAGAAGCACCCTCGATTTCTTTCTGTTCTCCTGTTGTAAAAAGCCTCGAGCGATCCCAAATCGAAGCCTGTTTGACCGAAGGAGCCAATATACAGCCCTGCTAAACACCCGTGCAAGGGAGACACCGAACGTTTTTGGGACTTCCTTCTTTCGTCTGCCGACGAGGCCTTCGATCCTGACGAGCTCGTGGAGAGTTAACGACGCGGATGGACCGTTTCCTTCACGGACACCACTCGATGAAGACGTCTGACATAAATGACCCTGAACGGGAGGATAAAAACTTTGAAGCAAATCACGACAGATGTGGTGCGTAAAGATACGACGGATCGGTATGGGAATTATGAAAGAAGTGGTCCAGCTTTCAGATGAAAGATCAACTCTGCGTCATGAGAACCTGGTACAGAGAAACTGAAGATCATCTCGACATATGGTCCAGGTGTAGCGCAGAGCGCGATTGTGGTCCCTTTTTTGTTCCGACTTATCGAAGATTATCAGATTAAATTTAAATGAAATATCATTTTACACCAATATACTGATTCTTCCACTTAATCATCTATCGATAAATATTGATTCGAAATATGAAGATTTCTTTTATATAATTATGATTTACAGATATGAAAAAATACATGATACTAACATTTTACTTCGTAATTCAGAGTACGTAGTCATATGGCAACAGTGGGAACGAAAGGGTTAACGATTAATATACTTTGCTGACAATGGGGATACCTTAGAACGTTACTTTAGAGTTTCTTTCGAGAGGTAATGTTAGCAATTCATGCAACTATGTAACAGTGATCCGCAATCAGCTCGATCCGTTCAGGATGAGGACGAATGAAAGGGGAAGTGACTGGCAGAAGTGATCAAACTGGTCCAGACGTCTAAGATGAAACGAACACCAGCTGTATTTCCATGCGAGCCTGATCCGAAGATGTTGAAGATCATCTCGAGAAAACGGTCCACTATCGCAGCATCTCGATCATCTCTCCTAGGAGCCTAGAGATCATTTAATTGCCCAACATCGTTCGAAATTTGGTTACTCATACTGCATACAACGAATCGTAACTTACGTTCTAACAACCAAATGGTAATACGATACCAAAAACATATCTATTTACAACGAAACCATACGTATTTATCTTACAATATATCTATTAAAAATACGAAACATCCATCACTATAATTATTCATCATCGATACAAGAAGTAACACTATTATTGTGGTATAGATCATTCGCCAAATATGATACGTCGAGAAAAGAACCGATGTAAATGACGGAATAATATAAAAATTTATTGAAAAGCATACATAATTAACCGATACATCGTAAAATAGTTGTATATTTCTATATGCACAAACACATTGATCCCCTGGCGGATGAATGAAACCGGCTTACGCCACGTTACGCACGAGTAAGTACAACCACGCCAGAACCAGGGGCCAAGAAGCGATCCCCTCGCGTGTCTGCGAGCCTGGTACCGGCGAAGCACAAAAGTGAGTGGTGAACAAATGGTTGGTCTACAATGGCAACGTGGTAACGACTAAGAAAGCGAATCGCGTTGGTCACTTCGCAGGATAATCGTTAAGATGGCGAACCGGTTCTCTCTTGTTTCGCGTTCTGGGATCACCAATTCCGTGATCCTCGAAGCCGGCGTCACGCGAAACTTCGCCACGCGATTGGTGGACAACCGACACCACGTTTCTGCAGGCTCATGCGAGCCTGGTACCCGCGGGACAAGAATGCGAGTGGTGAACCAATAGCTGAGAACGAAGCGAGACGAGAAGAACGTAAAATGGTGCTCGGTGAATGGAACGCAACCGACGACCACTTGGCGATATGTATAACCTGATCCCGGGAACAGAGACAAGCTGCGGCGGCTTTTTTAATCCTCGTATTCATGGACGTGGAAGCCGATTGCTGGGTCACACGCGATCCATACTAGACACCAAAGTCGGGCAACATGTAATCTAATTAAAAAATCTAGATTGCAATTACAATGTAATTGCGAAACAATTACAATTACATTGTAATTAACTATACTCAATGTACACGCGTTATAGATTAATATTCAAAGTCGATTTTCTTGAAAACGAAGTATCAAATGATAAAACTTTATTGTATATTTTTTACTTACTTTTGCACGTATAATCACCCCCTACCCGGTTGTATCACCAACTATATGATACCCTGTATATACAATATATAGTATATACACCAAAATATTACATTCATTTAGAAGAATTTGTAAAGAATAATATCAAATTTTCGTTTTTGTAAAAATTGATTTTTATTCATTCGTCAGACGCATCCTCGTTCCTCAAAACATGGAGGCGTACTGAATGAAGTGATCCAGCATTCGGTATGCGAGGGTAAAGGGAAAACAAAGAAAAGTGATCAGAGAGAATATTTTTTTTATGCGAAAGAAAATAATATGGAAACTTTGTACCTGTTTTTGAAAATTAAGACGATAGGACTCCGGTTTTTTGTATCCAAAAGAACTCCACACAATTTTAATGAAGTATTCATTTAAGTACCTACTATTTGCAAGTACCTAAGTAAAGAACAAACAATTCAATACACCATTATCGTGCAGTTGCACTCCACTTTGTCTCTTATTATAATTATAATAATTCCTTTATTAGTGTGTATCGTTTATTTATAACCAGCGCGTTCTAAAACTGGATCTAATATTACAACGCGTTTCCGATGACGTTACTATATTTCTGTTTCCAAAACTCCATCCTGTCTTGCAGCAGGTTTTTCTCCATTTTTAATTCTTGATCAATAACCATGTAATTGTTCTCCTCCCTTCTCGGGTCCCAATTCACGGTTATATCATCGTCCAGATTGGAAGTTGGATTTCTAAAAAATTCAATATGTTCATTTCATTATTTGAATCTTAAAGGTACTGAATTACGACGACAAACAGAAGTAAATAAAAATTCCATAAAAACTGGTATTAAAATAAGAATAAAATTAGAATTGGTTGTAGCCACTGACGTGTCTTTGGCAAAGTTCGTCCACAATTTCGTTAAAATGTTCGTCATCTTTTCCGCGGGCGAACCTGGTTCCGGGACGTTCTTGAAGAAACCCGAGTAAAATAGATAGCCCAAATCGTCGCCATGTGCAACCCCTGATCGAAATGGACAAACCAAGACTTCATTAAAAATCACGATACATATTTGTTATCTTGACATTAAAAGTGAGAAAAGTTTCATCGAATGAAATGTTACTTCTTAGTTTCGAAGACTATGAAAATAGTTGTTTTACTGTCAGAAGTGATAAACTCACCGTCACTGACGCCGGCCAAAGTTTTCATAAACCCGAATGGCGCGTTGTAGGTGAACAGATACAGATATATCGGTGCTGAATTTCGTTTCTGAATCAGATCCAGCGGTATAATTTGGTGCGCATTAAAGAAACTGTCACCTAACATCTACATAAGCGTGAACGAAAAACAAAAATTATATACCAATCGTCTCGGTTCGAAACTAATGTGTTTTGGCGGCGGTTAAGCTAGAGGTATGAAAAAGGAAAGGAAAGGGAACGTTTCGTCTTGGCCCTACTAATGGATCCTTGCGTCAGAAGCAGGTTAAGGAAGTATACATATACAGGGTGTAACAAATATGTTGTAGGTCCTTGAAATGGGTCACTCGTGGAGTGATTTGGAACAAGTTTGTCCTTAGCAAAAATGTTATCCGAGGCTTTGTTAACGAGATATTAACGAAAAACTACGGCCAATCGGAGCTCGGCCAGCAGACTCGCGCTCTGATTGGTCCGGGTTTTTCATTAATATCTCGTTAGCAAAGCCTCGGATAACGTTTTTGCTAAGGAAAAACTTGTTCTAAATCACCTCACGAGTGACCCATAACACTTTTGTTACACCCGGTATACAATGAGGAAGGATTCAGGTAATTGCGGGAAAGGTGTCAACTCGGCAGACTTCTACTGGCGAATGCAGGAAATAGTGCCGGCATAATGAATAAACACCAGTTACCACAGTGTATTCGTTTATGTCCTCCTTCGTTACATGCTTGTCCCCAAAGTAGTACTTCTTCAAACTCTGTCCGTGCATTTTTTGAATCTCTGGATCGGTAATATTCATATTATACGGCAGGAATATCTCTGGTTCGGTGTTCAACATCTCGATACCGAACAGCATCCCTGCACAAAGCAATTAAAACGTAAATTCAATTCATTAAGTAATAGTGTACCATAAAAGAACCGCAAATGAAATAATCAATTATGGTCGTGGATTTCAGGGAAATTTTTTATGATCATTCTTCAAACGAGTACGACAACTTCTGGTTCTCTTATCGCGGAACAAATCCTAGTAATAATTCATACCATGCGCGATAAATGCACATTCATCGGAGGTGAGTCCTGTCATCAGAGGTACGTCCGCGATTTTTCCTGTCTTCAGTAACGTCCACGGATCGTTTGGCAGGAATATATCTTGACCAAAATCAACTTCGACCGAGGGAACGAAGGTGAACACATTTCCATTCAGAGGGTTCTATAAATACGTAAAATAAAAAAACGTTGTGTATAAAATTTCGATTCCATTTATTGCCGGACAGTGTTTATCGTAGAAGTTAACAATGAGGAATATTGTTTATAGTATGATACATTCATGGAATGTATCTTTTATTTTTTCTGGTCTGTTTTCATTTTAATAGAATTCATCCCTAGGTACTAAAATCCTTGAAGACTATCAGAATGACTTCTGAGACACAATCGAGTAAAATATATATAACTAATAAATAACACTAATGTGTAACTGAAGATATCAGAAAAGAAATTCTACGATGAATGCGTAAATGTAATAGAAAAAAAAAATCGAGATACTTTACCAGAGTTGTCGACACTACGTCAGTTGCCTCGATGAGATCCTTGACAGGGACTTCAGAAAGTTTTTGTATCAGCTCTGCAGAATCTGTAGTATCTATTCCAAGAGCTTTTCCTAATTGAAAGGCCTTTTCTCTTGGATTATTTTGCACCGAGAATTGGGAAGTAATCCCTCCGCTTTGCTGAATGACACCGTTGAATAAACCTGCAATATTAAAAAAAACGTGATTAGAATCTACCTAATATGTATTAGAGTATATTAGTAGTCGAGCTTGAGATTTTGTGTTGCACGTTTTAGTAAAGTTAATGCAAGTTTCAATTACCCTCAGACATGGGGGATAGCATGTGATACTGAACAGTGGCTCCTCCCGAGCACTGGCCGAAGATAGTCACTCTATTTGGACCGCCACCGAAGAAATGTATGTTATCCTTTACCCATTTCAACGCCAACACCTGATCCTTCATGCCGGCGTTACCAGGAGCATTTTTGTCTTCTGTATTCAGAAATCCTGAAATGATAAGTAAAATAATTAAACGGAGAATACCGCGAGCACAGGATTCTGAATACGTTTCACTAGCTACGCATCGAATGTTACCAAATTAAGCTTAATTTTGTAAAAACTATTTACCAAGAGCGCCAAGCCTGTAATTCACTGTAACCAGTATAACGTCGTTCTCCACCAAGAAGTCTGGTCCGAAGAGAAGATCATCGGCGGTACCACTGTTCCATCCACCAGGATGGAACCATACCATAACGGCTTTAGAAGCTTCTTTATCCAAGACTGGTGTGTATACATTGAGGTAAAGGCAATCCTCTTCACCGCTAAGACCTTTCTTTATCATGCAATAGAACGGACAAGTGGAACGGTGATGAGTTGCGTCGTACACACCTTCCCAAGGATCTGCCGGCTCTGGTACCTAAAAATCGTTAGCATATTTATTATTATTTATTATTATATCATACCTGACGACATACCACGATTATATAAAATAAGATATTTAGTTTTAATCTTTTTTCTTATCGCCAAATATTAAATGAATGTTTTCCCAGTGAAACTCTTTCTGAAGCGATACGTGCACACGAATAATACTATTTGTATTAATTAATGTACAGGAAAAATCGAGAACGCAATTTAAGTAATGATTTTAAATTAAACACAATGTATCCTTTCTCTTCTTTACATATCACCGTTATTATTGTACTTTCACGTTAAACGTAAAAACCACGTTTACTTACGCGAAATTTGTCTCGACCGACATTCGGTTTCGCATAAGGTATGCCCTTGAAACTGTAATAAGCCTTATTGTGGAGGATCGTTTCAGTCTTCAACCCCTTCAATATCCCTTGAGGAATCTCCAACTGAACATCCTGGTCCGCGTGCACACAAACCAGCACGAACGCATAAAACAGCCATTTGTTTAGCCTCATATCGAGATACTAACTCGTGAATAAGCATTACATGTCGGCAACATTGCTTTTATAGAGGAGAACACATCCTGTCCAGAAACGGCTATATCGTGGAAAAATAGATTACGTAAACGGTGCACCATTCGAACGTGCTCGCGCAAGTATGGATTATCTGAGAAATGACAATGGAAAATGATTTTCGGATATTTAAGCGTCGGACATCCTGGTGTTATCCTCATTTTTCATCAAATTATTTGCATCACAATCTGCGTTCGATAACTGCTTCCGGAATTCTTAGATAACAGAGAGATGTCGAGGGTTCGAGTGTTTACATTATTAAAGCAAATGATAGTGAATTATTCGGGATTGATATTAGACACGCATCCATAAATTTGCTGACACTTAAATTCCAGGGTACGGCTTGGAACGGTCGAGAAATGTTCTATGATGTTCGAGAGCGAACAGTAACCATAAATATTGCTCTAACTAATGTCGATCTGTAGCATTGAATTATTCGTGAGGTACAATCTGTAAAATGCAATCTTCGTGTACACGAAAGAATCATGAAAGAAACCGTCGAAACCGTTTGAGTGACTCGGGACAATTGAAAGGAAAAAATAAACAAAGAGAGAGAGAAAGCTTGCAGCCCTTCGAGCCCTTGGACGCTTACAGGTGCATACTAGGTACGGAAAACTTGCACGGTGAAAATTGTAAAGTTACATAGGGGTAAAACTCGCTTTCGTCGCGTTCCTACTATCCTAGTAACATATTTAATGTTACTTGATATTTACGTTAAATTATTAAATTAAACAATCCCGTGACCCGGTTACCCTGGGACACGCCGTACAGTACACGGCAGAATGTTCATTCGCAAGTTTTCACCTTACCGTGTATCGATTTTCCTCTTTACGTTGACGTTGGAATAGATGTAGCCCCCTTTACTATCTATGCAAGTAGAACGACATTTAGAAACAACGAATTATTGAACACACGAGAATACGTAAGTGAGAATTTGCAAATATAATTTTACCGTCGAAACGAACGACAATTGAATGAATCCCATCGGTTCAATATTCGAACCGATCGAAACGTGGATTTCGGAATGGCTGAACTCCTCGGGAGATCTGGTATCCTGCTATGTGAGCACCACTCAGCACACCCTCTGGATTCTCACAGGACGTTATCGTGTCATTAATCAAGTATTATTACAGTAGTGGATAGATCCAAATATGTATACATCGCCAGTAGTGTCAAAACCTGACGATAGATATTAGAATATAAATGTGTTCGGAGCCTAAAAAAATATATTAGAACCCTTCATGAGCATTTGAAAAGCAAAAATAATACTCATGACAACTTTCGACCCTGATGTACTATACTTACTATGATTATACATAGTGTTGGCAGGATATATCCTGTAATGTATGGTCGAAACAATGACACTTGATGAGGGATGATTTTGAATGCAAAAGTTAATCAAAAGCGTAGAAAGAAGTTCTTTATACAAAACTTCCTTTTTGGGAAAATCGAATCGGAATGCTCGTAAGCAAGTATTACTGAATATGAAATAGTCCACATGTCTAGCCATTACTTGTTGTTTCTACTTACTGGAAGTATAGATCATAATTTTCCAATTTTAAGATCGCTCATTTCCCATGGTATTATCGATTCAGAACTGTACAGAATCTGCACTATACCTGAGAACTTTTCAATAAAAGTAAGAAAAAACTTTTGCGTGTTATTAATCAAACAATATTGAAAATAATATTTTTGTTTAAATTGCTAAACACACTCAATGAAGTAAATGGTACCAGAATATTCGGAATTCTTAAACCCAGAAGGGTGAGAATGTAAATAAAGCTGGTTATGAAACATTTTTAACGTAAATATTTTAACTTAAATGCATATACATAATAAAAACTATACCTTCATACACAAATTTATAGGCATTTATTGGTAAATAATATACCTTGTACGCATTTTACTGAAAATATAAATGTGATTACACATTTTTTTATTTACATATACCCACTATATTTTATATTTACAGTTTTCGTTTAACAGTAAATAATGCCTGAGTTCATAAAACACTTTAAGAGCAAAGTTTTCAACGGGGGCGTAGCTCAGATGGTAGAGCGCTCGCTTAGCATGCGAGAGGTACCGGGATCGATGCCCGGCGCCTCCAAGTAAGTTTTTCAGTAATTTTTCATTTTGATAAAAAAATATATTTTTATATTTTAAATAACAAGTCCTTATTTACTGTTTATAAGTACATATATTTCACTATTTAATTACTCAAATGTAAAAAAATATGATGTAGATAGTGTAAAATAGTACAATACTTGTTCTTTAACATTTACATATCGTGTTAAAGACTAATTCCTTTCTGGCATTGCAAGTATAACTGATTGTCTTTGAAACTATAATAATAACGTATTCATAATTAACAAAAGTTACCATACTTTTGTGCAGGTATGACGGATACACTGCTTGTTCGAAGCAAACCTACAGAGCCACTATTGGGCTACAATGGAGCAAAAAGATATCTCTGTCCACCAAGAGGCCATAGACAGCCTGCCGATAGGCACGATACTTCGTTGAAGTTGAAGCAACTACGATCAGAAATGGTACGCATCGCTTCCATCCAAGGACCACCTCTAGATGGATACATTATCACTTCAGATGATGCTCATCAGGTAACTACGTATATATTTATATTGAATATTCAAAAATATACATTTTTAATTTTAAAAGTAAACAGTATATAATGAATATTTTCACAAATAATATTTTCTGTCAATGTCACTATCAATATTAAGTACAATGAATTTAAAAAAGCATTTACAATATCAGATCAGGTTGTAAAACAATATTTTAAGTTGAAAGATGGTTTATAGCAATGTTAAGATTCTTCATCAACTTAAGGACATGTATAAACTTAACGTTTCAGACAGTGAACTACGTTAGTCATGGCCGAGAGGGCCCGTTGGAGGTATAGCTCGCGTAAGACATCGCGTTTGCAAACATCTGAAGCTTCCCCTAAGTTTAAGTTTGACAGACACTGATTTAATGACACTGGCATTGCGTCCTGAAAAATATTCCTAGTCACGAACTTCCTCTAATTTCATTACAAAGCTTTCTAATCGCGAGTGTTGCTCCATTTTAATCAAGTACCGTTAATCCTCAAATGCTTCATAACCGTGAAGAGCAGCGAATGGGACCGCTGATAATATTGTACTCACGAATGTGTATTCAAATTGTAATCTCTATCGCCAGACCGAATCGTTGGATCCTCGGGACATGAGAAGAGAATTCATTACTGGGTTCTATGGAAGTGCTGGCGAGGCTGTCATTACTTTGAACAAGGCTGTGTTTTGGACCGATGGAAGGTATCATGTCCAGGCTGACCATCAACTTGACTGTAATTGGTTTCTCATGAAACGTGGTAGGGAAGATGTAAGTTCAATCTGAATTACTTTTTTCAACCGCAAAATTTCTATACTCTTATATAAAAGTTTTTATGTTTAAAGTAAGGTTGCAAAACAGCAATTACTGAGCTACTCCAATTTGCTACAGTATAATTATTTAGAAACTGTGTTGATACTGCAGTATTATTAAAATAAATATGAGTATCAAAGAGGATATATGTTATGTATAAATAAATTGTTATGTATATTTTAAATAAAAGCACACTCGTTCATACATAAGTTCTTGAGAACAAAGTATCGATTTGAAACATGTCTATATCAGTATCAACGCTCCAAAGACTTAAGTAAATACCGATTTATTTTCTATGAACACTATATAATAGTCATAATAGTGTTTATAAAAAGATTGAGTCAGAAAAAGTGTATTGTTACGATATATATCACAAAACTTTACTCAACATATATATAGGTAATGTGATGCAACATTTTTGTTTCACGTAGTTACCACTAGATGGCTTGTGAGTTGAGCGCTTTCTCGTCGCTGAAGATGTACAGTCAGTGTGATATATCAGTCACAGCGAGATAGTCAAATTAAGATCATACTTCACAGGATCATTTCTGTAGTATATCTTTCATTCTCTGTAAGCAATTACAGAGTTGATGCAACCACGATGAGGAGTAACAGCTCCTTTCCCTGAGCGTGAGGAAGACTCGGAGAGTTGACTTTAGTTCAATTCTCCAGTCATCGATGATCGTTCACCCCTTGTACTCAGTGCGAGGGGCATGGGAAGTGGAGCTTTCTGAGTGGCTTCGTCTTTTTTAAAACGCAAAAATAAATTGTTTACATCTTCTCTTATAACTAAAATTAATCATTATTCCACGTTTAAGGAAAAAGAAGGAGGAAAATAAGAGATCTCTTAATATAAAACATTTGTTGAAAAGTTACCACGCTGTAGAATGAAAATGGGTCTCGGATATTGTGTGTTGTCTTATTAAATCAAATTCTAAGTTAAAGTAAATTTGTGCAGCTAAATTACATTATTTAATAAATTGTATTTGTTTACTTATATTATCCCTTTCGCTCCGATGCGCTTGTGAGAAAATATATGCATACCCACTGTGGACGACGGAACAAAGCTACATTCTTATAAACTTTGTAATGAAATTTATTCCAGGAGAAATAAAATTTTTATTTTTCATCCGTGAACCGTTTTTCGAAGGCGTATACGGCCCTTAGGAGCGAAAGGGTTAATAATTGTAAATAAATGGAGGACGTACAATTTTCAACTACTCAAGATTCATTCTAAAATTTACGTTGTTTACATTAATATTGACTACTAATTAATGTCTTTGAATCGTATAATATATACTGTTTTTATTTATGACCAGAATTCGTTTCAATAACAAACTGCTTTCGACCGCGCAGGTACCCACGATAACAGACTGGCTGAGACACGAGTTTCAAAGTAGCCCATCAGTGCGTATTGGCGCTGATCCAACGCTCGTTTCTAGTGTCGACTGGGAAACGTGGGACTATAAATTAGGTAATGAACCTGTCCCAAAAGCATAAAACCCGTCGGCGCAAACACACGTCGGATTTATATGCCGTCGTTACACCGTTTGTCACCTAGCAACACCACAAACGTCATCGTCATACTAAACCATTACACTATACCAATCAGCTCAGATGAACGTTTAAGTAATTCTCATATATCCCTACAACGTTTGACATATTTCCCCTTTAAATGTGACTGCTCTGTTCTCAAAGCAATTTGTCTTATTAGATTAAAAAGATAAGGGATACGGTTATGCTTCTTATACTGGCCTCTTCACATTTTTAATACAGTTCCATAGTTCCGTAGTCTTATTTTTTCTATACCTACACAATATTACACTTTTAACATTTAACCGTCCACATCTCATGTAGAAACTTTCCGTTGCTTTAAATTGAGTGTCCATTCTGAATGCTTTATAGGAAAAGCAGGGCAATAAAGTTAACCCTCGATATCGAGTATTTTATTTATACCATTCAAAAAGTCAAATTCAGCTTAAATGTTTTAACTTCTCACTTCTAAGTCACGACTAAAAAAGTGAGAAGTTGAAACATTTAATACGACATAGTCGTATATCGATAATTGAGAAATAACTGCCATGCGAACTTTTATTAGCGTAAACGTGGTCGGTCAAGTGTTAGAACGTCGTCGATCTTCACCCACAAGCGAGGATAGGATCAAATTAACGATAGCGTTCGTGTCCAGCGAATTCATCCGTAAGATTGGTTCCTGTCCGTAACAACCTGGTGGACTTGATCTGGCAGGTCGGCCGACCGAATTACAATCCGCACGCGGCTTATCCGTTGCTGGACAAGTATTCCGGAAGATCCTGGCAGGAAAAGGTCAAGTTGATCCGAACGGAAATGGAGGCCTCGGAAGTCGACGCACTCGTCCTTACTGCACTCGACGAGATAGCCTGGCTGTTGAATATCCGTGGATACGATCTGCCTAATACACCTGTTTTACGAGCGTACGCTGTCGTCACCCACGGGGCTATTCACCTGTACACACCGCGACAGAAAATTTTACGCTCGGTTGAAGTGCACTTGAAGATGGACTATTGCAACCATGAGAACTGCGTGACGTAAGTTTGTTTCTTAAGTATCGAAGGGTTCGACACTTTATGTAGTGAACTTAATGGGGTCGGTTAGAGCTTGATTCTCTTTGTTTCCCCGACTTCTTTACAGTTAGCACGTTCAATATTGCTGTTAGTGAGGGATTTGATAGCCTTCAATTCCATTGGTTAACATTATATCTTGCATTTACGGCCTTATTACATTTAAAGTAGTTAAACCTCAATCTAGTTTATTTTACGTTCGACTTTTAGGTGGCATAATTATACATCTATTTGGTACGATTTACGGACAATGTCGCAAGCATGGAAGACAGTATGGTTACCAACGCGATGCGGTTACACTCCAGGCGCTTCCATGGAAATATTCAACTCTGTACGTACAGCTTACAGTTGAAATCATCTACATGAGATAACCTATCAAATCAAGTAATCACATAATGGTCTAAGTGTTGTTCGGCATTGTCTTGCCGCAAATAACTATTTCTTTTAATGGAGCCTTTAATATTACAGTATTCATCGGCATTAATTGTCTGGCTGGTGGATGACAGGCAAACGTGCAATTTAATAGTTCATGAAAATAAGATAATTATTAATTATTTAACCGTCCAATTAGATGATCTTTGAATCTACGTAAAGTTCAGCATCGCGTCTCCAACGTGGACGTCGAATACACCGAAACCGGTTCAGCTACACGCGTATTAGGATAATCCTAGGCGAAGATACACCGTCTCCGTCATGTTCCCCTATTCTCGTAGAGCTTGTTGAGCTTAGCTTGATCGCCACGTGACGAGCTGACACGCCTCCGTAGACATAGACCAAACACGGACAAGTGCTCCTTCGCGCAATGCACCGTATTCCGATCATTGGAATGTCCGCGGGCACAGATGCTGAGCCACATGTAGATACAGTGCGAACAGCGCGTTACATACATATATACATACAGTCGGAGCGCTTATAACGAACAAGCTTACCTTCTGCGCGGCATGATAGCCGGAGCTTAGGGACGCCTAGACGCCCGCGGCATCAGAAACCAGGGAGCAATCCTCTGGTTATTAATCCACTCTGCGCGCGCTACCTTCAATGATTCTTGCCCCTCCAACCATCAGTTTCAAAGCTACGAGCGGCAAGATTCATTGAAACGCTGGCCAACCAGTGAACATTTGAACACGCTGAACATTTTAACGACAGTTTTGTATTATATTTAGACTTTTGACTACCCCAAACGTAAGTTAACACAACATTGACATAAACATATTACCCCACAGTAAATACTAACATGAACGCTGCAACCAAGGATTAATAAGACTTCGTTGTATATTTATGTTCATAAATCTCTTAACAGGTTTAATCAATTTTTGCTACGATTCCGCTTTTCGCAGAAGTATCTATGAAATGAGGAATTTCGTTGAATGTTCGCAGTCTAATAATTCACTAAGTACAGCGGTCAAATAATAATTGTCCAAGGAAGAATGCTTCTTACTGTTGAGGCTCTCGGGTGTAAGCCGTGTCCTTGTGTAAATGTTTTCCACTGATACAGTATCCGAATTTCCTTTCAGATCCCATTAGAGAAACGATTACCGAAACCCTCACCGGTTCTGAACTTCCGGGCGCAAAAAAACGAGGTCGAAGCAGAAGGTATGAGACGGTCTCATTTAAGGGACGCAGTGGCAATGTGTGATTTTCTGGCGTATATGGAGGAACAATATGAATTGAATTCGGAAGGATGGGACGAAATGCAGGTGGCTAGATTGATTAACGAGTTCCGTTACGAGCAGGACAACAATAAGGGTATCGCCTTTCCCACTATTGCCGGATACGGTGCCCACGCTGCCATCCCCCATTACGAACCCAACAATCTCACGAATATTGTAATTGGAAAGACGTCTACATTGGTGGTAGATTCTGGGGGTCAATATTTAGGTAACACGTTTTTCAGAACGATTCCTGTAAATTTGAGATCTAGATGATAGATCATTTATACGTTTTTAGTCCTGCAATATCAAGAGTTCGTATAAATTCTCATAAATTTTGTCTGATACTAGAAACAGTTTTATCGCAATCAGTTAATGTTAATCGTCAATGAATGTTACAAGTATTCAAACAATTTTAATGATTTCAAAACATGTGGACTATAAACAGATGGAACAACCGACGTAACGAGAACCCTCCATTTTGGAATTCCAACGGAAGAGCAGACGAAAGCATACACGAGAGTGCTAATTGGTGCAATACAGTTATCGTCCTTGGTGTTCCCGAGTAGCGTGAAGTCCAGTCAGCTGGATGTTGCTGCAAGATCTCCGTTATGGAACATCGGTTACGACTATTTGCATGGAACTAGCCATGGGATCGGCCACTTCTTGTCTGTCCACGAATGTTCGTGTTATTACATTAAAAAAATAAGTATTTATTAAGAGAATTTATTGTAAACCCTATATATTTTATCTCACTATGTTATTGAATTGTTCTCAAGTATTTTTAAATAACTTTGGTCTGACTCACGTCGCCATATTTATTTCGCAGACCATGCAGGCAAAACTGTTTTTAGAATCTGTTTATAACAACATGAAATCTTCAATAATAATTTCTTATTGATGTATTGAAAACTATATTTTTAAAAACTTGTTGGATGTTTACATAAAGGAGATTTTTGCTGAACATAGAAAGTACTAATCTCCTGAGACTGAACATGCGAAGGGATTCACTTTGAATCATTACTATCTTTCAAGCTTCTCCAGTTAAAATACTCGAAGGTCAAAGAAATTCGAATTTTTGCCTTCGCTACGGAATATCAGTTTTATTAATTATATTATTCGCATTTTCAGCGCCTATTAGTATATCCTACGCACAAGTTGCTTCTTCAGACAAAGAGTGTGGACCCATTGAACTGCAACCAGGATTCTTCCTGTCTAACGAGCCAGGATACTACAAAGAAGGCGACTTTGGTGTACGCTTGGAGAACGTTCTCGAAGTTGTCGAAGCTAGTAAATCGGTAACCAGAATTTGCCGTAATTATTTAATAACGATTGCACTAATTTATAAATGCAATTATAAAATTTTCACAGAGGGACTCAGAAACATTTCTGAAATTCAGAGACATAACGCTAGTTCCGTATGAGCCAAAACTGATTGACACCAGCATGCTAAATCCATCCCATGTGAGCAGATACAGAATATTTGAATAAATAAAAAAAGCTATAAAAATGAAATAAGCAATTTTATGTGATTAACAAATATTTACAATCATTATTATTTACGGAATCATAATCTGCTCCTTCTTACTTAGAAGGGAAGAGTACATTTACATTTATTTAACCGTATTTACACAGAGACGATGGCTAAATAATTATAATCGTCGAATTCGAGACGAAGTTGGCCCGGAATTAAAGAAGAGACTCAAGATGAATGCTTTTGAGTGGCTGTTGAAGAAAACTGCGACCATTCCAGAGTCGAGTCCGGTCGATGAAGGACTACTTTTTGGCCATTCTCGCTCAACACCTTCCACTTTCAAACAATTCCATGTGCTAGTTTTCGTCATGTTCATTTACTACGTTCTACCCAGTAAGTAGAATTCGAACACATTCAAAATTAATAAAAATGACTTACTCATTTTTTCCCGACGATTCTTTTTTAATATTTCAGATCTTCCAAACATGTGGAGTTAATTAAGAGAAAGAAAACTGTTAGAATTTGTAAAATAAAGTTTGTAACGATATGCAAATCAACTTTAAGTTAGATATACAATGAATAATTTATGTGGCATATTACATTTAAACATATGTATACATATTTTACTTTTTCTTTTACTGCCAGTACTACAAATAGACAAAGTTTAGAAGGCACGAATGTAACAAAAGTAAGTAAAAAAAATGTAGTGAAACTGTGCACAGCTATGTAAATGTTGTGTAATTATATTTTTTGTAAATATGTGTAATTTATTGTGTGATATAAAAGAACCGTATAGATATAGACATGCATTGTACTTTGCTTATCTAGTATGTAACAAACTTAACCAAGTAAATTTTAAATAATAAAAAACATTCAGTTAAACCATTAACTAACTTTATTCAAATAAAATTATTTAAGTATCTATATTATAGTTAGGTATAATGTAAACAGACTTGTTATGTAGTTATATTTTTGCTAAATCCCCCACAATGTCTGGTTGTTGTACATCCCGAACATGAGGAATTTTAAAATGTTTTAAAATATTTACTGAAATGAAACATAATATATTATTAGTAAATATCATACCAGGACTCTTCTATATGTTCTTTAAAAAGTATTGCATAATATACTACTACTTACCTACTACCTGTTTATCTAATTTGTATTCAATAGCTATTATTTCCGCAGTATATTCACTCGAATTTTCATTATGCTTTCCAATAAAAGTCAAAGCTTGCTTCAGGGTACATTTACCCTCTGGAATTATATCCGACTGATAAAAACCGAACTGCAACTCAGGAGGATGCTTTCTGTCTTGTGGCAGTGGTTTTGTGGAAACTGCTTCCCCTTCAGGTTCTCTCTGAAGACAGATGAAAGGCATATTGGTATTCCTAGTTTTTCTTTTTTAATTGTTAGGAATAATGCACATTGTCATATGTAAATAATATTACTAATAAAGTATTCAAGTACATGTATTATGAATGTATTAAAAGATTATATAAAATATACATACCACAGAATCATTTGATGTAACATAAACATTCTTTAAATGCTCATCTAATTGTTTATTTTTCTTGTAATGAATCTCCATATAATTTGGATATACTAAAATAACAACAAAATTTCTTATTGTGCAATATATAATTTTTTTTCCTTACAGTTATCAAATCAATATAATTATACAAATAATAAACAAACATATATAAAAAACATAAGTAAATGCAAAACAACTTACATTTGTCTACAAGTTCTTTTTGTTTAGTTACTGAGGGATATTGTGGTGCAGGAACAGGTTTCTCTTTCGAAATTACTCTGTGTGCTCGATTTTCGATGTTAAATGAACGAATTGGTCGGGTGAAATAAGAATATACTTTCCCCATTTCTTTAATTTTCTAAAACAAAAAAACGATAACTATTAACATCATTTTCAATACATGTTTTATTTATTAAACCAGAGTTAACAAACATGGTTGGCATAATAAAAAACCGCAATTCAAAATTTATTATTTGTATAATTATAATTTTATGTAATTTATAAATTGTAAAACAATAGAATTTCCATAGATTTACGTGCAAATGTTAGGTTAACGTCATAATCAATTCGGTTTCTACATAGAGCTTCTTTCAATCCTCCTGTAGTGGTGCCAATCTACTATTTTGCTCGAAATTCACTTCCCATATAACATCAAAGATTCTCAGCATTTGGGTTGGTAACTTTTAAATGGTGAAACGTCATACTGGTCATACATGTATATTTTAAAGATGTCAAATATAATGTTAAATTTTTTTAAAGATCATGATATTTGGCTCAACAATCAATGGTATTTTCAAATAATATTAAATTCCTAATACGCAATTAAAAAATGGTCAAACAAGGCCGTGGTGCCATCTACGACAAACTTCCCAAGCTACTTGTTAATTAGATCCCACCTTTTTCGTTAGGTGACGCTACTACTTAAAACATTTTGTATATGTACGAATAAAACTGATATAGCGACTGAAAATATCTGTTGCAGGAAGAGAAGATACGTGTTAACATATTTGTTAATACCCAATACCGATGCATGGGAATTTTATAGACAATCTGACACCATTAAAAATCATTTGTAATTGTAATTTGTGCGTGTATTCTGTATTCTTTAAAATCTTTATGTCATTGAATACCACACATAAGAGAGAGCTATCATTTTTATTCATATGTTGTTGGTTGGTCGAAGTACTACATAACATACTTAGAGTGAACAAATATTTTTTTTATTTATTTGTCTACATATTTCATTTTTATGATATCATATAATGTTAAGTACTTTTATATACAATTGTAATTCCTCCGTTATTTTTACGTAATCTTTAAGCTAATAGGCCCATATACGTGGACAAGTATTTTTAATCACTAGTTACTGTTCGTAGCCATCTAACGACGAACAGAGAAAGTGGTACCACAAGTAAACTTTGTTTATGAATCCGATATAACTACTAAAATATGTATATTTATTTCATTTAAGCATTTTTATTACGTAACAGTGCCTTATTTCTTAATACACAGTATTTTATAAGCAACGAATGAAACGCAGACGTTATAAATAGTTGACAAATCGCTGAGACACAGTTTTGTAGATTTACGAATACAATTGCCCGCCAACGGTGGAGGGAGTTTTAGAACGTTCAGTGAAACTAGTTGCAGATTGCAGATGGTTCTGAAGACGCGGTGAAAAGAAACGCTATCGTATTGTGGCGACGACTCAACAATATTACAGTTAAAAGTGTTTCTTTTCACAGAATATGAGTGCGACGGTATACACTTGATCAACGTAACGCTGGTGCTGGGACGTTTGACGCGTAAATAAGTGAATGTGTACTACGTGTTCAACAAGCTTACGCGTAACCGCCAAAATTACAGACGGAAACGCCATCTTATGAAAGGATGTTGACATTTTACTGAATTGGGAAAGATTCTATGATTGCCGTTTTATTCGAGTCCTACGACTCGACTCGTCTACGAATGTCAGAAAATGCTAACATTACTTGCTAATTGACACGTCATCTGATTTTTTTACTACAAGGTGATAATCATGTTGCTAACGGGAAATCGCCGTTAATGAACAGTTCCATTCACCCTTATGTTTAGATATCTGTTTACAAACAATGTAACCGCGCGCTTTCTGCGTACGTTATTAATATGACATTCTCTCCCTGCAGCAGTTGATATAACACGGAATCATAATGTTTTACGCACATTTCGTGTTGGCGAAAAAAGGGCCGTTGGCCCGTATTTGGTTAGCCGCTCATTGGGACAAGAAGTTGACAAAGGCGCATGTATTTGAAACGAACATCGAAAAATCTGTAGATGGTATATTACAGCCAAAGGTACATACAAAATACTTTTAACATTCATATAATTATTATTATTATTTTCTGTTTCTGTAATTTTGAATCTGTAACATATTTCTCAGATTAGGTTGGTGCACATAAAGTGTTTTTTCTCAATTAAACTTTAAAGGTATTAACTACTGTAAAACTTCAAACATCTAATTGAAATACTTTATAGTTAATTTTATACAGATTTTGCAGTAGTTATATTGTCCTTTTTGCTTATTACAACAACATTATATGTATTCCTTTTTATTACTGCTATGGTTTCTGATTATCGTACAAAGTTTAATTTTCATAGGAAATTTTAAAACAGACTTGGTTTTTATCTAATTCTAATTATGTGAATTATTGAAAATAATTTGTTCAAAATAATATATATTTTCTAACTTATTATATCAATTTAGGTAAAAATGGCTTTAAGAACATCTGGACATTTGTTGTTGGGTGTAGTACGCATTTACTCTCGAAAAGCTAAATATCTCTTAGCGGATTGTAATGAAGCTTTTGTGAAAATAAAAATGGCCTTTAGGCCAGGCATGGTTGATTTACCAGAAGAACACAGAGAAGCAGCTGTAACAGCTATAACATTACCCGAAGTATTTCATGATTTTGATACAGCAATGCCTGAATTAAAGTAAATATATTAAAATCAAGTAAATGTGTCATGCACATATTTTTACATAGAGTATCAGTCAATACCAATGTTGTATTTCAGAGATGTTGATATTGAAGCACAGTTTAGTTTAAATCAATCACGAGCCGAGGAAATAACTATGAGAGAAGATTATGGTACCTTAGCCTTAGTTACACACGATGAAGGCTTTGGTGATATGGGTTTCGATGCAGAACCACCAGAATTATTAAGACATGCTGCTGCTGTAGAACCATCGTTAGATCAGGTATTTAATTCATTCTATTTTTTTAAATGAAACAAGCATTAATAATAAAGAATAAATATTGTATTTATTTCTTAGACTCACATGTTGTTCGCTGAAGGGATTGAAGCAGCATTAGAACAAAAGGAAAAGGAGCCTGTTGCAGGTCCATCGGTAACAGCGCAAGCCATGGACATAGATATGCCTATAAGAGATGATGGTTTTGGAGGACATCTTGGTGAAGATATCATATGTAAGTAACATAGATTTACACATAAAAAATTCATTACATCACGTATGTATTATACAATGTTATTTTGTATTTTAGCTGGTGGCCTGTTCGAGGGCGGTTTGTTTGATGAAGCACCAATGGGTGAAGTACCTGTACCTGAAGTTAGTGCCGTAGTAGAACCCCACGAACCAGCAGTATCTGGAGCTGCACCTCCAATAAACGAAGAATCTGAGGAAGAAATGGGACCTCCATCTCCTATGGGAGGAATGAGGTATTCTGTTATATCGTTTTTTAAATTTATGAAACTATAAATTTATGCTTACAAAATTATAATAATAATTATATTACTGCAATATAATAAACATGTGTAAAATAAATGTTATATTTCTTATGTAATAGTGATGACTCCAGACCTGCTTCTCCTGCCGTAATTGGAGAAGAAATTGATGGAAGAATAAGTGTTGCAAGTCGTCGTATTACTCCTGCTCCACCATCTATTCCCGAAGAACGTCCAATGGAAACTATCGAAGAGAGTTTTGCTCTTGCGCCAGTTGATACATCTGCATTGAAAGGTTAAACATGATACAGTACTGTTTTCTTCTAACTTTAGTGTTAGAGTAAATCATCAATGAATGTTCGAAGGCTCCTCGGTCTTGCTGACAAGAAGAGAGCCCTAAATGTAACGCTGACTTTTTAATAAGGTTCGGCATAGTCATAGAACTTGGAATTCTGAAGCTAATGATATTTGTTTCAGCCTCATATGACCATTAGTTCTTGTAATATTTAATATTCAGTACCATGTACTTTCGAATACTCATCGATGATTTACTGTAATTATTGGAATAATCATAATGTTAATAAAATTTTAGGATTCACAAAAGCAAAACGTAAACGCAAGCTTATTGTTGACGAAGTGAAAAATATTTCTGGCGAAGAAATGAAAGCACAATTATCAGACACCAGTGATATTATAACTACATTAGACTTAGCGCCTCCGACAAAGAGGCTCATGCACTGGAAAGAAACAGGCGGAGTCGAAAAATTGTTTGCTTTACCGGGAAGACCAATACCAGCGCGTGTATTGTTTAAGGTGACTTGAATGTTGATTATTTCCATTTTAAAACTCGTGACTGGTTCTACAGAAAAATAAAATTAATATATTTAATATGTTACATATTAACGAAACAGAACTATCAACGGCATCTTACAAGCAAGTCGTATGACCACGAGGACTTCGGACGTTTAGCAGGTGAAGAGGAGGGTATGCCCTTAGAACAAATGAGGGAACCCGTAGAACTAGATACATACGAACAAAGTATTTTAAGTAAGCGTATGTCCCGAAAGCGGAAGATACCATTCGAGGAAGAGGTGTGTTATTACAATATCTTCTCTTATCCACGTTTGTATAGGTGTCAATCATAAATTTGTATAATTCACGCGCTATATTCTTACTTTCAGATTAGGCCACCACCTCCAGCACCAGCACCTCCCCCAGCAGAAGCGGCTCCTGAAGCTGTCGAAGTCCCAAGTATAGTTCCCCCACCTCCCGCAGAATCGCCAATACCTCTTCCTGAGGTGTCGTTACCAGCGGAACCGTCGATTTCTGAGATCAGCGGTATAGTACCTCCTGCCGAAGAAGCGGAAATAATTCCACCAACTCCTGAAGTACCTTTAATACCACCCGAAATACCACCAACTGAAGCCGTTGTTACACCTGAAGAACCAACTGTCTCGCCCACCTTAACAGAACCAGAACTCCCTGCTGCACCACCTACCGAAATGCCTCAAATGGAAAATATGGGCTATGATCAGGTTAATTGTATATTATTTGATGTATGTGTCATTACGCTATACGAAGAACGTTAATTAACATTTACATTTGTAATAGGCTCAACCTCCTGTACCATATGTGGGATATGATGAGCATCCCCCACCGCCCACAACACCCGCCGTGTCAGAAAGGGGGCCGCCGACTCCATGGATACACGAGGACTATGAATTCCCACCATCTGTAGGACCTGTATGTATTTTATTTACTTTTTGTATATTATGTTTTGAAGCAACATGCACGTATAACCTTATTTTACTTTACAGCAAGAGGAACAACAAGTAGATGAAACATACGAACAATTCGAGGAACGAGTCCTTAACAAGAGAGCAGCGCACATGTATCATGTTATTAAGAGCAAACTGGATACCAAAGATAGATTGACGTTATCAGAAATGGCATACAAAAATAATCGCAAACAGGTTTGTGTTTAGACATATAATTTATAACAGACTTCATGGATCTATATATTTATAATGCTGATAATATCTTTTCTAGGTTGCACAAAAGTTCTATACTTTGTTAGTCCTTAAAAAGTTTCAAGTGTTGGAACTCCATCAAGAATACCCGTACGCTGAGATTTTAGTCAGTAAAGGACCAAAATTCGAGAACCCTGCATTATAAGAGTATTAGGTATATTTAATACCTTATGTTTATTACTAAAAGTGATCGAGTAAGGAAGAGGATTGTAGTTATTCTGGATCGTACAGAAAATGAAGCGATTTATCTAAATTCTTTTGATAGATAAATTGTAAAATAATATATGAAGCCACTGACAGAAACATGGAATATCTATTAAGATAAAAGAATTTTGTAAATCATGTTTTCAATTCCTGATTCAGAAATGTATACGTTTTGTATAAATCAGGAAAACATTGTTTTGGACCTTCCCCAATTTTATCGCGCTAAAAAAAATTCAATTACATACATAAGAATTTACTATTGAGGGATACATAATTTTTTACCTGTACATGGAAAAAAGGTCGATTGTCTTCATTAAATTTATTATCAATCCGAACAGGGTTTGTATATAATAACGTGTAGTAAAAACATATTTTATATCTTACTATTTACGAAGAAACTTCTTGAGTCCGTACTGCAGGATGGTCCAAAATCACTGATAAATTGATAAAATAATTTATGAAATTTTATAAGAAAAAGTTCTGTTAAAAATTTCATAAAATGAGTTTATGTATGGTTGAAAGCTATGTATCTTATTTTAAAATTGAAAAAAGGTTGGACACAATGTAATAATTTTCTTATCAGCGTACTTACATATTAATTGCTATTGTGAACAATTATTAATGGAAGAATCAATAGAATATTTTATGGATAATACTTTTATGTATTGCAGTCATACTTTAGGAGTATCACGGTGATTAAGTTATTTTCCAGATCTACATGAATGCTGTCTATATTTTTATTTGCGCTCGGCACGATCTGTATAGTTACTTTTCATATAAATGTCACTGGAAATTTATGATCTATCATAATTTATATTTACATTGTGAATAACATTCCAAAGAATATTGTTGTAACTTAATAGTTTCGTTTTTATTATTTCAATTTTTCTCGTAACAATTTCTTTATTATACCTCGAAGAAAATCTCTTAATCATGTAAAAAGGTAAAAATTGTTTGACCATACTATTTTCTGAAAGAAAATAGTACTACGGTTAGTAATTTAATTAGTCCGACCACGAAAAAAATGTTCAGTAATTTATTGTTATATATCTATACCTGTCTCATGGGATACAGGAATGTTGAATCGTATTATACAAAGAAGTACTATATTTTATCAAATTGACATGTCAGAAATTTCTCAAGAGCAATCACATTGCATTGTAAATATACATGCACAGTAAACACATATAACATATGCTATCATTACCGCACGTACACCTGCCTAAGGGTATGGTACAAAAAAATTGTCGACTGCTTTAACATCTCTGAAATGCCTGATTGTAAATAGTCTCATGATTCATTAATCAATACACACTTGTTTATAAAATAAACAAAAGGTTTCTGAGATATTGTTTTTAAAACTCAAACCCTAAAGTACATATCACATAATACTTAAAAATGTTAATCCATTATTTTCCATTAATAAACTGTTACATACACTATATCAGAATTTATAACTCAAAATCTTTTCAGAATATTAATTCTAAATAATTTTTTTTAATCGTTCACACGATGTGCGTGACACATGTGTGTTCACATGTTTATATATTTTTCCTAAGGCAGACTTACTATTCATCCTGTTAATATATTTGTTTTTTCAGTACCACGCAGTAGTATTATTTAATTTATATCCAATCTCTGCTTATATACTTTCTGTAAATTTAATTTTATAAGACGATTAAATTGATATCAGTCAAAATTGTCATTGAATTAATATTAAATTCTCATTTTATATAATATATTTAGTAGAATCTTTTAGGTTAAAAATTACATATGTTTAAAAATTGCACTTTAAACTGCCTACCTTCTCCGGAATTTTCTTTAATAAATAATTCTGAGTACCTTTATATTATTTCCAGGTATATATAAAAATGTGGACAAAATTTGTTTATATGTAAAAGCTTTATTTCACTTATCAATCGACACGTTTATAAGACAAAGAATCAGGTGCAATATAAATTTTAACATTAATGTAAATTTCTTAACATGTAACGTTTCTTTTGTTGATAAATTGTGAAATGGTATGGTTATGCATGGTTAAGAATAATTTAAATCTCCGTTTCACAATGAACCGTATGAAAAAGATAGACGTAAATGCAATTAAAGTTTATTCTTCCAGTTCACCAGCTTCCATTGCTTCGCGATACGATTTATCTTTTGTCCGGTCTGGGTCCAACTTAATCATATCATCAATTCTAAGAATCGTTGTTGCTGCTTCTGTGGCGAATTTTAAAGATTTTATTTTCGAAATGGCTGGCTCCAATACACCTGCTTTTTTATTGTCTTTGATAGTACCCTCGAGTAGATCAAGACCAACCCTATACAAAATGTAAATATTATTATTTGTAAGCATTTAGTTATCCTAAATAAGTGTTAAAATATCTCAAAATAAGTACCATTTCAAATCAGCAAGATCTGCTTTTGTTTGACTGGAATTGTGATAAGCACGTAATTTGGCTACGAGTTCAGTAGCATCCTGCGCCGCGTTGACTGCTAGTGTTTTTGGTATAACTAGCAACGATCTCGCGAATTCTGCAATGGCTAGTTGTTCCCGAGAACTCTGCAATTCAACAGTGAATAAATATAATCTTATATGTTATCATTTTTCATACAAAGTTAACTTACGAGTGAAGTTGCAAAATTTTCCAAGTATATTGAAAGAGCTGCCTCGACGCAACCACCACCTGCAACGACACTTTTGCTTTCCAATACCCGCTTAACAGCACACAATGCGTCGTGCACAGACCGTTCCATTTCATCGCAATAATAATCATTGGGTCCACGCAGAATAATTGAACTTGCTGTCCTTGCTTTCGGTCTGTTTAGAATAAATATTATTTTTCTTTTTCTTCATTCCTCTAAACCTCAATGTATGAACAGTGTCTTAAAACAAACCCCTTGATAAGAATAAGTTCATCATCGCAGACAATTTCTTGTACTACTTCAGCCGCTTCTCCAAGGAAACTAGGATCAAAACTTTCCTCTCCCTCCATATTCGTTAGAGAAGTAAGGAAATGTGCGCCTGTTGCTTTTGCAATTCTCTTCAAATCTGCCTTTTTACATCTGCGGATTGCCATTGCTTTGGCTTCGATGAAGTACTATGAAAAAGTATACAAGTATGTAATATTGAATTTTCCTTTATCTCGAAAGGCAACAACTTTGTTTTCATAATTCAAGTGTACCTTCAAACAGAGATCATCAATTCCGCCAGACACAAGAACAACGTTCGTGCCAGCAGTAAGAATCTTCTGAATACGTTCTTTCGTAATATCTGCTTCACGCTGACGCACGGCTTCAAGCTTCTCAGGATCTGTAATCAATACTTCAACACCCAACTTCATTTTTGTTTTCTGCAATGAAAAGTCTAGACATGCAACTTTTGCATTCACTATTCTCTTAGTCATTGCCTGAGAGGCCACGGTACAATTCAATGCATAGCCTTGCACCAATACAGATTCCCGAACACTCTTGCCATGAGCTTTTAAGACATTGACTGCTTTGACAGGATATAAAAATCCGCCTTTTCCATCGTTGACCTTTATTGCATTTGCTGCATCCACAACCATATTTCCAAAGAAATCAGTGTCACTGTCAATACATTAAGGAATAATAATAAAAATTTATAAATTATGATTCCTCAATTTTGCAAATACTTAATAGAAAACAAAGGATACGCTCCAATAATTTTACTCGACATAGAAGTTTTTGCTACATTAACTAGACAATCTCGTCCAAGTTCATCAACGCTAACTGTCAAATGTTCCTGAATATATTTGCAGGCTTCTCTGAAATAAAAATGTTACATATATTTTTGTTCCATTAAAATAACTATTTAATAATTACTTACTTGCAAGCAAGTCTGTAACCACTAATTACAGATGTTGGATGAATTTTCTGTTTTACAAGCTCATCAGCATTCTTTAATAACTCAGCTGCAACTATTACCTGTTACAATAATTTCTATTTAGGTTTGTTGCAAGTGAACATATTTCTGATATTCAATTTAAATGAACTTACAACTGATGTAGTACCATCTCCGACTTCATCATCCTGCAGTTGAGCTAACTCAACTAATACTCTTGCTGCTGGATGTTCTACTTCGAGTAAACGTAAGATTGTTGCTCCATCATTAGTAACAGTGACATCCTAAATATAAATATTTAAGATTGATTTTAAATCATGTATATTTTACAGAATATCCTAAAAAATTATATACATACACCAATGTCATCCACTAGCATTTTGTCTAAACCAACAGGACCCAAAGAGCTCTTTACTATGTTGGCAATAGCACAAGCAGCCATCACTAGGAAAGCAAAGAATACATCAAAGAAATTATACTCAATACATAAAGTTTAATTTTAACCAGTTGCAAATACATTAAAAATATTCAAACTGCCATGTCAATGTTTATTGCTAGAAAGAAAGAAATTTATAACATAACTTTGTTAGAGTACTTTTTAAAATTTTCTTTACTCAAGATCATTTCATAAATGGTTTAAACTTAACAATTATTAACTATTAATGATTAATAGCCAAAACCGACTGATAAATTTTCTCTTTCCATTAGCAAGTCACAACTGTGAACTAAAAAAACAATTTGTGTAACGCAACATTTTTTTACTCTCATTTAAAGAAAAATTAATGGGATCGTTGTTAGTAAGTATACACATTAAAAAGCTTAATAAATCTTCCAGTGAAAACGTATTAATATTGTTCTAATTTATAGAATAATACAAATTTTAGATGTTCGGAGTTGCATGTGGTTGTAATATGTAGTGTCACATGTATGTAAACAGTTATTTTTTCGTTATAAGCGCAAATTATTTAGTAACAATACTTTTATATGGTTTGAAAAATCGGAATAACGAATTTGATGAAAATCAAGTACAAAAATTCTGTCTAAAGTGAACGCCGACGCATTTAGTTAATGTACATTATAACCAAGTTTTCTTGCAGTGCAAACCATCAATATACCATTCTGTGTTCGTACAGGTGCTCCGGACTGTCGAACACCTCCTACGGCCAAAGGACTCGCTACCGTTGACATTTTCTAACAATATCTTTCCTTTTTGCAAAATACTAAAGTTCAACGTTGATCAAAAACTTTCGATTGCCGACAAAAGTTAGCTACCAAGAGATCCGCGTGTGACTAATAATGATAATAATCACGATGATCAGCGACGCCTATCCTTCTCATTTCCTTTTAGGGTCAAGTTTGATCCTGTCTTCGATTGGTTCATTTTTTGTATTTTCGTTTTCAATTGGTTGGAAATCGTGGACAAGGATCATCTTTAATTACCTTCTAGAAAAGTCCATAGATCCCAAATTCGCGATTTCCACTGTATACTAATTGTAATAAAAGAGTACGTATTAGAATGATGAGGGAGAATCTATACACCACTTTTATTAACATTTACATATTTATAATTTATATGGGAGTATGAATGGTTTTACTGCCTATTGTAAGAATTTTAATACGCACGAACAATTACTTTCTGGCAATTGGTAAATTTTTACATATGAATTTACTTACAAAAATTTTATTTATTACGAGTAATTAAATAATGGACGTATGTTAATATTCAGCTACGTGTCTCTCAAATTAAGTGAAATACAGAAGTTTTATTTTCTTGAAAATTGATGTCAAAGAATGCAGCAACTGGTCAGATTAGTTTCGTAAATAAATTGAAACCCTGTATCGGCACACTGTTTTTTAGGCTATTAAATATTACACGGAATCTTTTAGGAAGTAGTAAACTCTTTTATACAAATTCAATGAAATACTTTCAGGTACCCAGTTTAGGGCTATGAAATTAGAATGTTCAAGAAGAGGTAAAGAAGTTTCATATTTGCAATTATTTTGTGATACTGTAATAGAAATCGGTATCCTGTGAGAAAAATGATATTTAACGATATGAAATGAATAATAAATAACGGTCTTAGGGATTTATACTGGAGAGCTAAATCTTTCAACGGAACATGTCACTTAAACAAATTAGATAAAAATGGTATTTATTTGGGGAATATGAACATCATACATAAACGAGAGCGGTAGAGCGAGCTGCGGTATCGGTGCTCTCCGTCGGTGTCGACGCGTACCGAACGATGCCGAAGATGGTCGGCACTGCCTACGTCTTTTAAACTTGGGCTGTAGAAGTATCTGCAGATGGCACCCCCACCACTTTGTTGGCGAAAATTGGAACTAATTCCAGAACTTCTTCCAAAACTTAAAAGTTTTAGAATTAATTATTTTGTTATTATTTATTATTTCTTATTACTTTTTTGGTTAATTGATATTAGGAAGAGGAATGGAGATAGTGCCGGGATTAATGAATAACGCATATGCATGATTTGACTGTCTTTTATTGAAAAAGTCGTAAAACAATATACAATTTGCAATGGTATTTGTGTAGTTTAACACTGCTTTAAATACTACTTATATATGTATACACACTGATTCGCCGCGTGTTCTCTAGTGTATCCGTTCCTCTCTTAGTATTATTTATCATGGATAACTTATATTACGTATATCGTATATAGTTTATACATATGTTTATAAAATATTTAAATAATATATAAAGTATAGTACTGTAATTTATTCTCTTTCAGCGCAGAAACAACTTTTGTGTTGGGTAACAGGATTAGGAAAATATAATTCGATACAAGTAGGTATCGATATTTTTGTTTCGATACCGAGTAATTATCGATACCTTCATACAAAAGTAGTTATGAATACAAGTATCGATACCTTGGTGGTATCGATTCAATTCTATTGCGAATACAATCTATATCTATATTATTACATGCATTGATACAAAGTGATAAAAGTAAATATTCAATTAAAATCGTTATGCATTGTTTAATTCACATTGCATAATATTTGTTATTATAGTTACAAACGTTTAATACGATTTTGAAAACTGTCATTTTCTTTAATTTATAAATGAAAACTTGTGTTGATTGGTTATAGTACACCTAAAGAAACGAACAGATACCTAGTGTGTTGTAATTCAAATAATTTTATTTCAGACATGTCCTTTCTAACACATTTACTTGGCAGTACTTTGCAGAATACTAGACCCCTTACAAATATTACCTCCACTAACATAGGTTTGTATATAGTAAATATTGTTTCTCTAATATAATTTGTTCTAATTTATTGTAACACAAAAAATGGTTAATGTGTTAAGTTAATAGCATGAAATACAAGCAAGTAAATTTCTAAATGCTTAACAGTGTGTGTGAGGAATGCATCAAAGAAGGCCAGTAGTAGTACAAGAATTAAACCTGGTCATCCAAGACCAAAACACAGAGGATGGAAAGTACAAGATGGGTGGTTTGTTCAAAAAGGCCATATATTAGCTACCCAACTTAGACCTAGATTCCACCCTGGACTTTACGTAAGTTTAATTGTGTTTCTAGAATATATATTCATATAGAAGAATTTATTACAAAACATTACCAATGTAATTAGAGATGCGAGGTTTGAAAGTCTATTAGCATATAATTATTACTGTTGAGGCTTTTGTATGTAAGCTATGTTATTTTACAATTGTTTAACAAACTAATCAAATCTTTGCCTCACGATTATTGAATCAAGACATGAACAAGATACAGTGCCATTGAAACATCATCAGATTTCCAAAAGTATATGACTTATGCTAAAAAGCCTTTACATTGAAACTAAATAAACATATAATAAATACAACAATAAAAATGTCACGAGTATAGTATATGAATCATTGAACTCTATGGTTTCTTCATGAGTGTGATTAATTTCTAGGTTGGTATGGGCAGAAATGGGACATTATATGCCTTGGAAGCTGGAAGAGTAATTATCACTTCTGAAAAAATTAATCCCAATACCACTCATACCTGGGCAACAATGAACTATGCAGGCAGAGAGAACAGTGTTATTTATAAGAAGCATTTTAATGTTATTCCTGAAAAACAACACAACAGATTTATATTAATTGATACTGTTTGAAATGAAATCTTCTAATTTTATTTAGGTTTCCTTTCATAAAGTAAAGGTACAAGTATATAGTGTGGAAGTAAAATTCTTATTTTATTCCTTTTACAAATTTGATAGTGCGTGCTACCCATTTTCAAGTACACTACTCTCTGCCCACTGAAACGATTGATACACGACATTATTTTTATCTTTAGAAAAAAATGCATACACTCGTGTTTTTCGAACATGACAAGCAATGCGACATTGAGCTGAAAGTTCAGTTATTGGAATTTCTTCGTCTCTGTCCTTACACTGAACTATAAATTGAGAATGAAACATAACAGGATCACCTGAAAATTTCGAAATTCTAAATACTTCTATTAATTTTTACTTAATGTTTAAATAACTGATAGTCAGTTGCATATTACATACCAGGATATACTAAAAAATCTCCTCCAAATTTTTCTCCACTTGTCACATAATATCCCCTCTCCCATAGATCCTTGTATGTATTATATCGAAGTTGTTCTTTAGAGTTGGAAGGATATTTCCATTCTACAATTTCAACATCATCTTTGTCTACCCATGGATATACTAAAAATATACATTTATTAATTGATGAAGAAATAGGAAACAATTTTTATAGAACATATACCTGAAATTACACTCTATTATTTCATACATTGTTATTAATAAATTCTGGAGGTTTATGCAAATTCGCTTATGAAAGATTATTTTAAAGTCCACAGTAAAAAAAAATTATTTCATCAATTATATAGTTTATTGAGTTAAAAATTAAATACATACCAAATTAATCTTAGTCTAATTATTTGATTGCGGATGTACATGCATCTATAGTACACAAAAATGTACAATGTATTAAAAAAAAAACATTTTACCCAATAGTCATAAATTAATCTTTATAAATTGTTTGAATACAGATGTTAAATTTTTCTATCAATTAGATTATAAAAATATGAATTTGCCCAAATATCCATGGAATAATTATATACTTTATTATCAGTATAAATATTACACTCACCTGTATGAGTCTGAATTAGTGCTTCAGTTTTATCTAATGTAGGTAATTTTGCCATTTCTTCTTCCAATAACTGTTGTCTATTTATCTCAATATTATTAAGAGCTTCTTGCACTTTTGGATCTAATGATTTCTTTATTTTCTTTTTACCTGTCTGTATTCCAAGTATCTTCCGTTTTTTTCCTTCTATAATTTTGTCCATCATACCAATCACCTATAAAAATGATTTATAAAATAAAATTCCTATGTTTAATATATAATTGGGAATACACAATAAAAAAAATTATTCATGTAACCTGTTTTTTTCTTTCATTCCTTAAGCATTCCTTTTGCTCTACAAACAATGTATTTCGGTATTCTTCGAAAGCTTGTTTCAATGATTCTGTTGGTGGTTTTTGAAGACATGGAAAATGGACAAGCTGTGCAAAGTTTTTTTCAAGTAAAAGAGATACTTCTTCTGGTTGTAAAAGTAATGGAAGTCCTGAGAGTATATCTTGTCTAGGTTTCTTTGGAAGGCAACCTATTAATTCACCAACTATTCTATGATCTCTACGAAGTTTTAACCAATCTAAAACATAAAAATAATTTGATTGTCTTAAAAAATTTTTCGATGAACTTAAACACAATAAAATCTGTGTTTGAAAAGTAATAAAAAAAATCACCTTCTGCACTCCATACAAAAACATTACTTCTTGATGAAATTAAATCTATCATTTTTAATGCAAAAGATGTTAGAGAATTATGTACTATAATACTACTGAACCTAAAAACAGTACTATGCTTTGTTACTTTTCCACGTTGATAATTTACATTTCATTAATAATTTTAAAAGTGGTAATATATGTATATTATTTATATTTTTGATAAACCATTTCAAATATTACTGTATTTTCATCATCATAAATAGTGTTTTCAAGCATCAAATCGAGAATTCGAGGTAAATAAATCGTATTTTATATACTTCAATTACACTGAATAACCATTATTTGGAAAACAATTGTTTCCTTCAGTTTTGATTTTCATTAACTGATCAAATTAAATATAAAATACTGATCGACATATAAACAACTCCAGTGCATTGAGCTCATAGACATTTCTATGCTATGATTATGATTGAACCAGATTGAACTCTATACCGGAGTATGTGGTGTGTGAACCGTGTGAAGCATGTGGGACATGTGGACCAATGTGGACTGTGGATTCAGTTGGATAATCCAACTTGGATTGTCCCTGCGCTGTATCCCTACTCTTTGGATTAACTGTGGTGGCGCCAAAAACACTGTCACAATCGGTCCTATATAAGTGCCTAGCCTGGTGAACACTTTCATAAATGTTTCGCAGTGTTTCGCGGGTAAAATGGCGCTATGGAACAAAGTGTTGTCAGGTTTTGATAAAGAAGAAGAGACTGTGAATTTTGGTACACGAACGGTCGCGGAAAATAATGGTTCGTTGTATGAAATTTCTACAATTGCCACGATACAATCTGACGGAAAGGTAACTTGCTACTTACTTTGTTTTGAAAGTCACAGAATCTTGTATAACAGTGTTTAACGGTCACCGCTTTGAATATGATTGTTTATACATCTCTTAATTCGATTTTATTTTAAATTGACACCAATTTGTTTTACTTCACTTGGCATTTACCAATTTTACATTTCCGTGTATAATTTAAATTTAAAATTGTATTTATACGTATATAGAATCGAATAAAATTTGAAACATGTATATATTTTAAATATTTGCATGCCCGTATTTTTATCGGTATTTTATTGGTAAACTGTACTATATATTCATATCTGGTCAAATAATTAAAAAAATTATATTACTATTTATATTATTTTTATATTTATTTAAGAAATATTTCATTAAAATTTGTTACTGTTTTCATCTTTAATTGAGGCCCAATTTACATTCAACACATGTATAATAATTCTATAATTTTATAAGGTAGAAACAGAGCCAAGTGTTTTGGCATCTGTGCAATATTCAAGGGTTTGCGTGGTAATTGATAAATCAATTACCATATTTGAGAATGAAACATGCAAGGAAATATTACTAAGTGTCAGTTTTGGATTATTGATATCCTGTTACTATATCTCTGACAATGGTACATATCTATTTGTTGTATTGTCAAATGGAGTTTTGTATTGCCTTAATCTGTTATCTAAAGGGCAAATCATCTTTACAAAGTAAGTACAAAAAAATATTAAAATATTATGCAGTTGTTATATTATAACTGTGTGTAATAATATACTTCTTTTATGCATAGAAATATTACAAAAAACAGAGATCCCATAGTAACAATATTTTTGCAAAATGAATGTGATCAATATATTAATATATATCTTGTTGCAAGAAGTGGGACCATTTACAGGTAATACATAAACTTCTAGTATGAAATTTTTAAATTGTAATCAATTGTATTTTAGAGTTTCAAAATTCAATTTAAACCTGATTGAAGTTGCTATTTTAAATGACACCAATGTAACAATAAAAGAAGTTATAGAACAAATTGAATGTACAGAGTTGTTCAAAGGTTTTTCCAATAATGAGGTATATTGGAATTTATTCTTATCTTTTCTATATACTTTATCATAAAAACAAAGATATTAACATGAATATTTTACAGGTAATATATGCTGCTGTAGGTATCGTAAGCAAGGAGATATCAGTAGCTATGTTATGTTCAAATATGTTATTTATGTGGCCCAATGAACAATATAATAATTTTAGTACTGTGAATTACAATTATACCAAAGTAAAATTCTTTAAAAATCACATGTAGGTATTTATAAAATTTTTCATCAGAACTGTTCACATTCTTATGTGAATTCCACCACAAATAAGTGATGGTAACATAAGTATACTAATTAATAATAATAAATCGTTTAATTAATGATTTTAGGGCAATGCTATGCTTATGTATAGACAACACATTAAATATAGTATGCCCTAGAACTTTACTTGGTTTGAAAGTGTATCATAAACCAGTATCAGACTTTGTGATAATTGAAAATACTGATAGTAGCTCGTGTCTAATTCTTATTTTGACAGTAAATGATGATCAGTACAATAAATACACATTACGTGTCCTTTCATTCCCAGGTATAAGATACATTTATACAAATTATGTGCACATTACTTATATCACAATTGAATCGCTCTTTTTTTTTTCAGATTTCGAACTAAAATTTCAAATAAATGTACCTATCACAACATACCTTGTGGAAATCATGGATCCCCGGGACGAAATAATATTATTCTTGGAAGGCATTAATAACTTTCAGAATGATACTAAATACATAGACACAATTAGAATAAAAGCTGTATCAGAAAGTCTTCCAGAATATCAATTCCAACGTTTAATAAGAAGGGAGCAGTTTAACAGAGCTGAGGTTTTTGCGAGAAATTTTAATTTGTCCATGGAACCTATCTACTGTGCAAAAGCATCATTACTTATATCTCAACTTGGTCCTTGGGCAAAGAAAGGCTATAATTTAATTCAATTAAATGAGCTTCTGAGTCTATTTGATAAAATACAAAATGTGCAATATGTAGTAGAATGTTGTAGCAAGGCTCTTATACCGCAGCATAAGCAGATGAGGCAAATTTATTTATATGCACGGACAAGAATAACAGAGGACACTACAGTATTTATGTTTCCAATAATAGTATATGTAAATATTAGTTTATGTATTCTTTATGTTAGTTATAGTTGTGTTACTCATTTTAGAACACGAAAACTGATAACCATCTGAACCTACTGTGTTTGATTAACAATACACTGCACAAATTAGAAACATTTCACTTGATTTGGGGACATCAAAAAGATTTTGATTATTACGACGATGATACTATGAAGGAATGGATAAGATTTTCAAGAGTAAACTTTATAGAAGAGTATAAAACACATTTAAGTTTGGTGAGATTTCTATTTTACATTACTTTCAATGTAATAACAAATTTGAGAAGAGATATGTCATTAGACAAATAAAATTACTTTTGTTATAGGGAGAAATGGAAGCTGCTACTTTGATTTGGACTAGACATCTTCCAGACATAATGGTATACATATCTGAAGAAACTGTACGAGATATACTTACAACTCTCCCTGAAAGAATATCTCCATCCAATCTTTGGCCATGGTTATCACATTTCATACCCACTTTACTGTCTATTATTCCCGGAGCTACGCGTGAAATTATTCTTTGGGGATGTAAAAAAATTAAGTCGTTCGAGCAATCGCATCGCAGTGCGTGGCCTCAGATTGGAATTGACTTTGCTGAAAAATTTATAAAATTATTCAGATACAAAGAAAATCGTCAACTTTTTGATATTCATCGTGAATGCCTAAGCAAAGACTCGAATGTGAAACAACTTGTTCTTTTGATACAAGCCATGTCTGATATTAAAAAGTTGAAAGTTAATTATAGGTAATTTAACACTTCCTAATTGTTCAACAGTTTTACATATATATTTAAATAACACTGGATAAACATTTCAGATTAGCAATATCTCTTGATGCGTACATAGGAGATCCTGTTAAAGTATCATACATGTTACTGGATAAGATATATGTGGATATCATCCCAGACTTTGTGAATACATTTTTGAAACAGTACATGCTAAACAACTCTTTAGACAATGATTATATTTTCTCTTCGTACATACAGGTCTGTGTTATTGAATTAAATAACAAATATGAAATGTTTCTATAATTATGTTTTTTCTTTTTGTAGAAAATTATAACAAATTCTAAAAATTGGTGGTCTGGTGAAGAAGCTCCATGGGAGAAACGTGTTGTTGTTGTAATTAGTTTAATTCAAAACGTAGAGGTACGATTAAGAAAATATAAAAAATACCGTATATTAAACATGTGTATCATCTACATATATTCTTATTAAATTCACTTGTAGACCAGATTACAGCAAACGTTAGAAATCTTGAGAAAAGCTTCAGTTCCTTGGAGTTCAAGTATGGTGAATATAGCAGAAATAAGTAGTAACTTGGACCATACTTTAGCATCTCAAGTCAGGATAGAATTCAACTCTGTCCCAATAAAGCTTATATTAAAAAAGTACGGCTACGAACGTATTGGTATAAACGATGTTAGTAAACCTTAAAAATGCTTTGACAAATTACATAATTAAAATTTAATTTGTGTATGTATATTTTTTTTTAAGAAATTAATTTACCGTATAATAAAAGAAAATCATGAAAGCATGATCTCACATATTCAACAAATAACTAAAAATGACCCGTTATTACGAAAAAAGGCATTCTCATCTTGTATAAATTACTACTTATCCAAGGGGTAAGAATTTTTTAATTGAAATATCAATTTTTAAGGATTTATTTGATCAAATTTACAAGAGAAATCGTCTTATAGGGATATTGGAAAAGCAATGGAAATATTGAATTCTTTGGAGACTGATATTTTATTATATTGTTGCGTACAAATTGTTAATTACGTGACGGCTAGTTTAACGTTAAAGGTAATTTATCAATATTTCACTATCGAAATTGACTGTGTTTGTATTCATATTCATATTTTACTGTTTAGGCATTACCAAAATGTGTTGAACATTATGTCGAAATGTTGGGTTGGGTGAAGTTACAATTGGAAGAAATTTCACAAAAACTTAAAGCTCAGTCACATTTCTGCAACAGTGTTATTATTAATATAGACGAAATAAAAGCGATATATATCTTGAAAAAAGAATTCCAGATAAGTGTTACAATGAAAGAATATCAATTAAAAAAAAAGCAAATTTTACAGACTTACATCGAGAAATTGCACAATGGTAAGAGATAACTGTTATATGTAGATTCAACAATTGATCGCCTAAATTTATAATTAATGTAATTTTAGGGGTTGTAGAGAAGAATGGTAACTTCGTTATTATGTACAGACAAATAATGAAAGTGGCAGACTTACTTGAAATACAAAGACTTGATGCTGTTTCTTTGTTATTAGAGCAGACAAAGAATATAGATGTATTTAAATATTTTACTAGGTAAATGAATACACACCTATCTACATAAAAATAAAACGAATTTAAAATAATTTTATATTATAATTTGCTTTTGCTTAGGTTTGAAGAAGGACAAGTAAGTTTAACACCAGACGAATGTGCATACATGTACCGAATATGTTTAACAATGTTACAATATACTGAAATGGATGAAGATATTGCAACCACTATACACAATTTATGTACTACCGCATTATGTGTTTGTGCAGATGGTACGCATCTATATCTATTATAGTTAACTTCAAAATTATTGTTAATGAATTCAATTATGCAAAAGGTCAAGAATTAATTAAGATTAATAATTTTATTAGTTATCAGAATGTATTTCAGGTAAATTGCAACCCATGTTATTATTAGTTGCCTGTGTACGCTTGTATCAGGAATGTTTTAATAAAAATACTGCGTATAGTTCAAATTCGTTAGATTCAAAGCAAGAAGAAATTTCAAAAACGAACTGGCAATTATATACAATATATAACGATTTAGCGATCGCTGCAGATGAACTTTTGCTACCATTATTTAAAGATATGATCTTTGTGCAGCAATACTATACAGCTAAACCGGAATCTGGTAAATTATGTCGATAGCGGCAACCATTATGGTATGTATAACTTAATAATGTTACTAATACATTACTTTATATTTTATCTATATAACAGACACAGAAAATCTGATAATAAATGAAACTGTTGAAAATTTCAATCAAGAACCACTGAAAAATTTCCTAGATAAAATAAGAAAATTGAAAGTGGAACATAATGATTATTGCCTGTTGCGGATTATCAAGACTTTGTACTTCAATTTTTGCATTGTGTCAGACACAAATTCTGCTTTAATAACAGAAATTAAAACACTGTATGATCAATTTTTAATAATATTATTAAAAAAAGTAATAAGTACTCGAGCATTTGATCTTCCACTTGGTTTATCTTGTATGTTTACGCTATCCAAATTAGAGGCATACAAATGGATCTCTGCTACCTCTAAGGCGTAAGTGTTTCGTTTAATTGTAGATTTGTGGATAGCTGTACAAATTATAAACATATGTTTCTTCAGGTATCAATCAAATTGCACTCGACACTTCAGACTATCAATACTTGGATATGAATATTTTAATTTGAGTAAAAATCAGTCACTTATGCAGACTTATAAGGATAACAAAATGTTGCACTATTGGGCACAGAAGTTATCAAAATATTCTATTTCATACAAAGGTTGGTATTATCGTAACATACATTAGATAGTTAAGAATACATATTTAAAAAAATATTTACAGAAATTTTAACCAGTGATGCTATAGCTAAGAGGGAAATACTGCAACGCGTTATGAATTATAGTAACGATGATATGACTTCCTTATTTCAAGATTTTTGTACTAACTTCAGCTTCGACATTCAAGACTGTTTATTAATTTATTTACAAACAATAGTAATGTCATGGAATCCAAAATTAAATACATCCAATATTAATGGAAAGAAGGGTACAGTAGAGTATGATTATCATTCATTTCATATTTACAGTTCTGATATTCATTGTTTGTAAATTTCATAGAATTACGCATTGATGAGAGTGAAGTGAAAGGGCTTGAAAATAAGTGCACTGCCATAGCTGCAAAAATTTCAGACAAAGTTGCTTTAAAGAACTGTGTTACTACTACTTTGTCACAAGTAACGAAATAATCTGAATTACTAAGATATTATAAAAGTTCCAGTATCTTCGAAATCATATATTTATTATTTCAGGTCAATTTTTATCATTATGAAGTATTTATAATCCTTATGGACCTTATAGAAGACACAAATATTCAACATAGAAATTACTTTTGTTTCTTACAAAATTATACACGAAACAGGTAAATATAATGAATAATTCTTTCATTACATCATTACTGTATGTAAAAGTTCCACCCAAAAATTATTCTAGCCAACCTACACAGATAGAACGTGACGAGTGGATGCATCTAAATCCAGGATATACATGTCTACCACCTATAGCAGAATGGCGATTGCCTTTTTTACCTAAAGTTGAATTATGGACACTTATAAGTATGGTTTCATTATCATAGTTTATATCATTTATATAATACATTGGTTATTTAACATAATTTTTGGCGAATATATCTAATGTCAATTGTCGATTAACTTTCAGCTCCAGAATTAAACTTAAAAAGCTTGGAGATGTGGTTAGACATAGCGCCTATTCTTAAATTGCAACCGCACATCATATGTACGTTAGCTATTAAAGGAGAGATTACACGTACTTGGGGGACTAAACAGAAAACTGGCAAATGGAGTCTGTGTTCAAAAAACAGCAGTTTGTTAAACGACATAAAAAAGTGCATAGAACGAATGACGGGACCGAAAGCATTATATTATGGCACAGCAGCATTATATTATGTTGTGAATCATACTCCTCCAGGTATTATAGAATTTTTAAATTGTACACTATATTTATTGCAATTTCAGTTACCTAAGTGTTTGTAAAATATAAAATAATTATTATATATTTACTAGGTGCTGACCAAGTAGCAGCAGTTGAAGAATGTTACAAATATGCCCAGCTATCGGTTCAGAACTCTACTAAATTTGAAGAAGGAATGCTTGAGGTATACGTCTTCCTTTTATTTCGTACAACTTTTATAAACATATAAATTTAACTTTTACGGTTCTGTTTAGAAAATAAAATTCAAATATTTACACTTTACATCGGAACATATCTTACGTACTCACGGCTTAGGAAACTCGAACTACCTATCGTTGATCGGAAATCCACATAAGTTAGTTCGTGAATTATACAAAGACGAAAGTATATCGCAAAGATATCGTTGCGTAATTGATCACAGACCTGACATAAATTCTGCAGTTAATGCTATCTGTGAATTGTTTTCCATCAATATGATAAAACTGCGGATGGAGTTGTTACAAGAGTGGTTGCAACCAGATACTAAATATATAAAATTTAATCAAAGTGTAATGGATACATTTTCAATAACAAATTCTGAATCAAATTCAAATTCTGATGACAACTTATTAAGGTACAATATTTTATAGTGAAAACACCATTTTTGTTTTCTATGTATATGTATACTGCTGCCCAAAAGTATGGGATCAGTTATGATAATTAAAGAAACAATAAAATATTAATCTACACAGATTTGATAAAAATAATGTGGTAAAACTGATTGAAAATGATTTGTGTACATACTGATTCTGTAACTTTTATTACATCATAACAAAATAATAAGTTACTGTTCCATCAATTATGAACTCTGTTTCTATATTTTTGGGTGGTAATATATATTATAAAATCTTTAAGCATTGTAATGAATTTCTAGGGCATGTTATATTCTTGAATATGGAGATCTCGAATTGTCAGCTAACTTCCTAATAAATATAGGCTTTGGTGATGGTAACGAAGATTATAGTCCTGAAGCTCGTTACAGAGCTCTTCATGTATTACAGACCATAGTCGATACTGCCAAATTAGAAGATCTGACTAAACGTGATATTCAAACAATTAGGTTTGTATGACAATGAATGTTTAACCTAATTTTTCATCATATAATTTATTGCAATTACATTTTTTATTTCTTTTAATATATTTAAATAATTGATTTTTAGAAATCACATGAAGTCTCTGAAGTATATAGGTAAACTAGAATCGTTGGGAGTTGATTATAGCACAAATACGTTTGAAGCGTGTTCTAAACATGAACTGGTACAAATATTATGGAAAACCCAAAGATATTCTTCACAAGCACTTGTTTTTATTGCGCAAATATGTATAGATTTTGAAATATACGAATATACCTTGTGGGATAATAATTTAACTCAAATAGCTAAATTATTAATGGTAAAAAATTGTATTTTCTAATTATATAAGAAATGTAAACATATGAAATTGGTAAATGTACATACATTCATGTTTATTCTTTTAGATTGATGAACTGAAAAAGATTTTGTTACAAGTGCGAAATAGAAGCGTGATTATAAATTGTAATGGATACCTGTTAGGATGGCAAGCAGTGATTTCAGAACCATTCAGAAAAATGGATCACAATCCAACTTCTGAACAAATAAACAATTGCCTCGAAACGTTACAACTATTATATTCATGTCCTGTTGTGCATATGTTGTGCTTTAATGACACTATAAAATATTGTTTTCAGTGCCAACAACCGCATTTAGCTGCTGCACTTTTACCCTTTCTAAACGGTAATGATAAAAACGATGTTTTAGAGGTAAGTAGTTTAATGTTTAATTTAATTCACTCCATTACACATTTAAGTGTATAAAATCTTTGGGTAAAAAAAATGAAATAAATTTTCTTATAGAAAATTAAGAACACGTCAAATGTTCCGAAAATCCTAGAAGATTTAAATAACTTGTCCTTAAATGGAATACTCTGCGTGCCCTATGTAAGTATACAGAGTTGATGTTAGTTACATAAAAAATTAAAAAAGTTTAATTATTCTTATTAATATTATTGTCATTAACTTTTCAGTGTAATAAGATGATACAAAATGTACTACTAAAAAATGAAATTCCATGAATTTATGTATAAAATAATTATTTGTACATGAAAAATTATTGAATTATATTAAGAAGTAATATTATTATTTTTATATATTTAATTGGATATAAAATATATTATGTACATTAAAACATTATAAACTATATGTATATACATTCCCTAATTATTGCTCAAGATATTAATTTGCTACACCATTCCATGGATCATTATAATCTTCAATTAATAAAGACTTATTGCTAAGTAATTTTACTTTAATTGTATCCTCATCTGGACTGGCTGATAGTACAATACAACGATGTACTATGAGGAAACCAGGATTATTAGGACTTCTGCCAACAACTATGTCAATCTCATCATCAACTTCAACCTGCATAGAGTATGTTTAAATTATTTTGTCTTATTGTATGATGTTTCTCAATGATTTATACTATTACTAAATTTTGTGCTTGTGTGAAAATTATAAATCCACTAAACAAAAATCAATTAGCTTATAAGAAACTATATAATCCCCGTTCTAGTGTTAGAAAATGTGCAAATAAAATATAATGGATGACTATTTCTGTAAATCTATCTAATTTTTACATGATACCCAGCCCTAATAACAACTAAATTTATTAAGAAACAACTGTACAACATTCTTATTCTTTCTCTCTTTAGAAAAATATCTTTACCTGTGAACCCTTCTTCAAACATCTCTCGCCATTGATACGGATATTACTGTTATAAAATGCTTTATCTATCTTCCTGTGAAAAATGAAATAAGTTCCTTATAAAAGTTTCAATTAGTGTTATGATAACAATGAAAGCATACAATACATTAATATATGTATAAATTGTAATTAGTTCAATATCAGCACAAAATCGAAATTATGTAAACTATATGACTAAAATTTCGGTAATTTGCAACATAGCTACTTTGCCTAAATAATATCTGTGTAAATAAAAGAAAAACGTACATGCGTGACATTTTCAATGCTGCTTTGACAATAACATCTACTCGAAGGGATGTTACTGTAGTATTAATTACTTTCGATTTGTCGGTCTGCAAATATTCATCGACTTCCACAGATTCCTCTTCATCCTCGTCGTTGTCGTAATCTACCTGAAAAATGATACACATGTAATTTGTTTTTTCGACAACAACATTAAAAATTAATAAATAATATTACAATGTTATCCTAATTACTTGTTTTGTAGTCTGCTTTTTGGACTTAAATCTTTTTTGTATGACAGGGTTAAGGTGTCGTAAATACGAATAGTTTATACATAAATTATATTGTCTAGTATTAAATTTTGATGCAACTTCAAATGAACGAAATATTTGCTTATTTTCACATATTATCCGTCGCACAGAATTATAAATTATTCTAGACAACATCCTGTAAAGTTTTTTATGCTTGAATCAGCTCAAATGTATATAAAGCATGAAAAACATGCAAGTATTGACAGTCATATGAATGAGACAACAGTAGTAGGAGCAGTAGGAGCAACTATACTTACATGTAAAATATAGTATCAGAACTGATACTATATAATATTTAGCAAATTAAGTATAATATTGAATAGATTACGATCTCCAAAATATTTTGGAAAACATTATATATGTATGTACAACTTTAGATTGCCAGGATATTTATGTACTTTTTTGATTTAAATTCGTATCAACTTCTTGATTATTAGTGATCATAGTCTTTTATTACTTAACAATAATTATGAACTAATTATAAAGATGTTACTTTGTTTTGTACTTTGTTATATCTTAGCAAAAGAAATAACAAAATTTTATAAATTAAATCTGCATCACTTTTTATAAATATTATATAAATTATGTAATTCCTACAACATAATATTCATTTGTAAAGAAAAATATTATTGATTCTTACATAAGAAAATTGAATAGAAACACTGTAAATGAAAAAATATTTTTCACAACATATGATCCGATTTAATATGTATACATGTACAAACATTTCCAATAAAAAATCACAATTATTTTAATTTTTTTCGATTATTTATACATCCTTTTCCTCAAAAGTTTGATAAACTTCTTATGTAATTTATTTTTATTAAAAAATTTGATACAATAAAAGCTGTCTACAAAATATTCTTGTAATTTTATATTATTGTTAATGGACTTATGCAAATACATCAGATAGAAATTATTACTATAATTTCTTTAAAATAGGATAATAGATTGGACTAAAAGGTTCTATTTTTATTATATCTTTTATTTTACGAAGTTCTTTTTAAAATACATATAAATAAAAATAAATGCTTCCAAGTGATATTTAGAACATGCATTCATGTAGTTACATTTTGATTGTTATTTAACACTATTATTTGAAGTTCTCATATGAAAATAGGATAGCTAAAATTAATTTTTAAATTTTCATATGAAACTTTGTATTCACGTTTGTATCAGCAGCAAAAGGAGCATTCATGTCTGTATACTAAATAAAAAATATACATAGATTAATTATTCTTTTTTTATTTCTTTGTATATACAAATATATAGCATATCTTCATTCCTCTGAAATCTTTGCATGTAATTTTGTTCAACCATGCATGAAAACATTAGATGAAAATTTGAACTACCAATTTTAAAAAAAATAAAATTTACTCTTAGAACTTATTGGGCAATTTAATAACATACTGTTTTAAATTACTGGTAGATTTATTAACATAAACAAGAGAAACATAATTTATATCGTCATAATGTTCCCTTGTGCTGCTTTATTAGTACAGAAATTAGTGACTTTACAGAAATTTTAAGAAAATAGATAAGTGTTATGTTTATACATTATAGACGATTAAATTTGTATCTTAGTGCGTGTACGTACATTTGTATTTTAATGTAATCTTAATCCTTGTGTTTGGTTTATTCTGATCTACCTAAATTGACAATGTCTTAAATTGGATCGATACTTTCATATTCTTCATTTTAGTTTGATTGTTTTCTTCCTTTAGTAAAAAATGTTCGTTTATTGATTAAACGCGACTTGAATATTAAATTTCGATGAAACATTTCATATACAAATAAAATCAGATTCCTGGTGACTAGAATATCTTTACACTTCATACACCCATTCTTTGTATACTTATATATGCAATAATACTTATTATAATAAAAATTACAAACGATACATTAAAATTAATGTTGAACTTTGGTTTGTAGCATCCTTTACTATTTTTTCCTTCCGAAAAGTAAGTCAATATTAAATATTTTTCTTAAATGCACAAGTTGTAAGTAGTGTAATTCATCTTACCAATACACATAAATTCAGAGTTCTGTTATTAACAAAACATTTATCAACTCCATTCCTATTTTCACTAAAATATTATATGTACATAGAACAAATCCAAATATCTCCTATGAACTGCCCTAATTAATCTATCCTCAGTAAAAACACCATTGTGGTTAAATAGTTAGTTGTTACAGTAAATTGCAGATGTATAACAGCTTAATTATGATGTATAACAAGAAAAATTTTAGATGTAACCTGTATGTGTTGGAATAATACAATAAAGAATTTATTTACATTCTAATACTGCAAAATTGTCACCAATATCAATCTTAAAAATTGTATAATATTAAAAAAAGAGATTGTGCTTTGTTTTGTCTTTAGTTTATAAAATGTGAAAATTTATACTTGACAGAGAATATTATAAAAAGTAATCAGACTTTAAGCCAGTACTCTAATGATATAGAAATCCAGTAACATGATTTTCACAAACATTGATGCATATGTAAGGAATAAATAAATGGGTACAATAAGTACACACAGTAATAACTGTAAAATAAATGCACTACTTACAATAAATGCAAACTGTGTATACTTTTAGTATATTACACACTTCAGTGCTTTTCTTCACTTTATATAATAAATGTGTAGCATTTATGTACGTATGTACATAGTATAAAAAATTTCTAGGTTTAAACCTGTCGTTGAATAGTATTATAAAATGTCTTGAGTTGTGCTTTTTGAAGTATTCAAAGCAAAAGGTAGTCTTATACAGGAACTACAAATGTGTATTGTACGTCCTTAACTAACAAATTAATGTATAAGATATCTTGCTGTAAAAATATCAGAAATCAAATTTTCTACTTTAAAAAATTTGTTGCAAGTACAGTAAAGCAAACACCTTGTAACATATTCTATATTTCAATCATGTGACTAAATGGTTCTAATAGATTGTGTATATACGGAAATGTGTTAGGGGAAACAAATGATGTTCCTTCATTGACGAGATTCGTTTGATTGAAATTTATATAGAGTATGTTATATTACTATGCTACAGTATGTACATTCAGCAAGCATTAAAATACCTCATTCGTAATTCACTCTCACTTATACTAAGATTTTTTTTCATTTTAAATATGTTGACATACTTTTAATTCGTTTCAAAATTCCCATTGAGTACAAGTATGAACAAAGTATGTTATTTTTAATATCTGTTATATAAATTCAAAAGCATATGGCACGCATATCCTATTTTTCTATACCTCTAAGCTTTTTCTTTCAAATATAAAAAAATAGCATGTTCACTAGTGCAGGAATATTTGTTAGTCACCATCGCACTGTTCTTTTCATCGAATCCTTTCATAGAGAGCAATATCTATGAAATTAATATTTTAAATACTGGCGATCGATGTAAATAAAGTGTATTAAAATACAATAATGGTAATGAAAGTAAGATGTAAATAATTTGACACACGAGAGAAAAATTATTTGTTCTCTAATGTACCCATTCATTATTCTGAATTACATTGCAATTCATTTAACTGTGAAAATTAAAATGATGGAAGATTAAAAAAGTCATGGTATTCTTTAAAATAATTGTGCTATGTTTTTCATTTCATAGGCATGCTCTGCACCATATGTTTATCCTTACAAAATTTAATATATATTGTGATTATATCTTTTACAAATGCGGTCCCAGTTTTTATAAGAAATAATTTAGGGCTCTCAATTGATAATCGAACTGCAGCAATGCAACAATCTGTAAAAACTGTATTTGCCACACGCAATGGTAGAAATACAACATGAGATATAAATGTTTAAATGTTTAAATGTTTTCCATTTAGAACATTGTTACTCAGTAAATAGTCAAAATCAAGTAAATATTACTACACACATAATACAGATGTCTGTATTATGTTGATATAAAAAAATGTTCAAATTCTAGACAATAAAGTTTGTCACACGAAACTATTAAGTTTCGCCTATAAAATGCTGTATGAATGTTTTCTGGCAGTATGTTACACGTAAGTCTTTCTATTATAATACGAAGAAATATTACAATCGTAAGATTTATAGAAAATTTAAAGGTAAATAGAAAATATTTCCTGTCGCAAGAGATTCTTCAATTCCTTTATATCTTTTTCTAAGCTTATTAATAAAAAATTCTAATAAGATAAATACATGTATTGTCTAGAACTGACATAAAGAGTGCTCGCATTATTGATTTCTTTCTTTCGTTGCTATGGCACTGTATGTTTAAATAATCCTATAATGCTATTTTACATTTTGTAAAAATTGTTAGTGTATTGATTGTAGTATTTATGGTATATGTATACTAAAACGAATGTTTTTTCAGTAATAAATATAAAAATTCTGAAGTCTGGCAGCTCTTGCGATTCGTTTTGTTTCCCTATTAACTGAAACACAGCGTTACAAAATTATGAAATCACAAGCTTTGAAAACGAAAAAGGAAATTATCTTATAAAAATAAAGAATTTATATGTAAAACGTTATGTTCGCAACTGTATAAGATATTTCTTAATATTCTGACTAGTACGTAAATGTATAAAATTATGTTAGAAATGCTACAAACCGGACATATGCAAATTTATATTCAAATTTCGGTTGTTTCAATTCAAACGGTAGTTACAAAATTATCATAGTATCATACTTTCTCGTTGCCTAAGTTTTTTAGTCTTATATTTAGTTTTACAGCTCATGTTAAAATAAACAAGCTGTTGGTTGTACTTTGTTTTATAATGCAATAAATTACAGCTGCCAGAGAAATCCATTGAAATGCACAGGCTACTATCTTCATTCATTTCAAAACATTCATATGTTCTTTTCCTCCTCTATGACAAAGTTAATTTCAGTCTGTCAGTTTGTATATGGCTTTACCTACGTTGATTCGTTCCTGACTGTTTAATATTTATAACACAATGCATCTTCTCTGTCTACGTTTCTGGGGTTCAGGTCTTAAGACGGCACGAACTGCTTCATCAAATACTTGTTTTAGGCCACGTTGTGTCAATGCAGAACATTCCATGTATTTCACTGCACGAATCTGTGGATTGCATTTGAAGTTAGTATTAACTAATGAGCATAGTGATCATAAATTATTCTTCACAATTATTTCTTCGGATCAAATGTGTCACTGGAAATTATCCTGACCTTATTTGCCAATTTTTGCCCTTGTTCACGTTTTATAGCACTAAGGCCTTGTTCAGCTAAGGCAGTCAGTGTCTCGCGATCATCTCGTAAATCTATTTTAGTTCCAACTAGTATCATTGGTGCATCTGGGCAGTGATGTTTTATCTCTGGATACCATTTACTGGTAACATTTTCAAAAGACGATGGGCTTGTTACTGAGAAACAGATGAGAAAGACATCTGTTTGTGGATACGAAAGCGGACGAAGCCTGTCGTAATCTTCTTGCCCTGCTGTGTCCCAAAGTCCTAAACTAACAGGTATTCCATCCACAACCATAGGCGCCGAGTAATTGTCAAATCTGCATATTATAATAAATATTATATTTAACAATATAATCATAAAAAGAAATTAAATTATGGATCAGTCATCCAATTATCCTACAAGAAAAAATAATAAATATAATTTGACATAAGTATCTGTTCACATATATTTTACGATACATAAATATTTATTTTATTTACCAGCTAAATATGATAATGAAATCTTAGGTATCCTGAAAACACAGACTGTTATAAAAATATAATGCAGAATGGATTATTTCCTGTAAGTAGTGGAAGGGTGTTTGATACTGCTACACTATTATTAGCTATCCTGTTTTACTACTCCAGCAGAAAAGTTAATAATAAAAATGTATTACAAGCATGTTGCCTATAAAGATTAAAAAAATAGAGATACTTTCCTAAATAACTTTGATTTCATTTCTGTATTATATACATATATATCATACTATTGTGAACAATGCAAAGGTATTTTAACTCATACAAAGTAATACTTACACTGTGGGAACATATTCTCCTGGAAAACTATCCGTTGTATATGATATTAACATACATGTTTTTCCTACTGTTCCATCACCTACTACCACACATTTGATTGGTCTACCAGAGCTCATGTTTCCAAGACTAAAGTGACAAATAAATATTATTATTTCCTTGTCAAAATATTATATTTTATATATACACATGCACATATATATGTATATGTATGAAAGAACAAAGGCAATTCAATACAGCAATATATAAAAATGTATGGCTCATAACAATCATAACAAAGTGAATATAAAAACTTTAAGAAACAGAAACACAAGAGAAGAAAAGAAGTAGAAAAGGAAAAGAAAGAATAATGTATATTTAACAAAATAAACAAATGAAACTTAGATAACAAGAAGGAATTCTAATTTAGAAAGAAATACATAACTTGGAACAAAAGAAATGCGTTAATGATCGGTTTTGAATAACATGAAGCACGAATAAAATGGAGCATTCTGTTTAAAAATTATTGTTAAAGCATTGATAACCCGATCACATATTAAAAAAAATTACTCTTACTTAATAACAATACAACCGTCAATTATAATTGAACAACCTGTAAAAACTATATCGTTGTGTTTCAGGGAAGAGAAATATTTTTCGTGTTAAGCGATACACCGAAAATATATTTTGTATTAATACAATACGGATCGTTCAGTCAAGCGAATCTGTCAAGCGATTCAAGTCTTCTAAAAATGGTGCACGTTTCGAGTTTGAAGGTTAGCTGCAAAAGTATGCGGTTCTAACTTAATTGAAGGGCAAGTCCTTTAATTTCAATTTATTCGCTCGATATGTAGTCGGTAAACAAGAATAATCGGTTATCATTTCCAATCACTCACCAATTATGAATAAACGTTCGTTTATAAAAAAATGAAACACCACTTGAACGTGACTTCGGTTCTGTATATATTTGAGTTTCTTCAAAAAATTAGAAAACCGGGTGCCATGACGGTATTGCGGTTTTTGGGACTAAAACGGACGTAGCCTTCGCTTGGTGACAGATGTTCGACAATCCTCTTCCTTCCCCTTCCACCCGAAACAATTATTATTCAGAAATGAATCTGGCGACATCTGTCGAATTAAGCATTTCTGTTATGCTACATTTCTTTAAGGTCTAAACGTGACATCAAAACCGTTACAAAACCGTTCGATTGCAATTAATTTTATTGATATTATAAATTACCTTCCAAAACTTTATTGTATCAAGTATATACTTGCTGTGATAAACATTTTTCTATAGCAAGTATAATGTGTATTTATAATTTAAGTTTTCTAAACAAACTAAATAAAATTAACAATTTGTTCGTAATGAAAACAAATTTTTTAATTAGTTCTAAAAGTTTCCTAATGATTATTATTATATCAGTATTTACTATACCTCCCTAGATACAATCAGGCCTGATCAGCCACATGGGACTGATGCCGAAATTATAGAGAGCAGTGGATACAATTCTGTACTCGTTTCATTGGCTAGTGACTTGTTTCTGTTTGTTTTACAGTCATTAATCACTATATAGACTGCGGATATTTATGCAAAGAATACGACATATCTATTTAGAATAATTTACAAAGAAGGGAATTACACAAAACTTTTTTCCAAAATAAAATTCCAAGTTAAATAAGAACTTTATTAAACTGTACCGATTTGAACCAATAATATTCTACAAATACATGAAATCTGCCGTCTACTCAGCACTATTCGCATTGGCATAGTTATGGGGATATTCCCCTATGTCAGTGATAGGGATGTCAGCAATGTCAGTACGATGGTGCATTCAGTGTAATTTGATGCAATTGCAAGATTAACTAAAGCCCACAAAGGCCACAAAGCCTAATTATAAAGAGGGAACATTACACAAATACGTATATAACCTCAAAAATTCTATTGAGAGAATAATAATTGAATAAAACATTTAATTTAGAGATGTAAATATTATAGCAGTAAGATGAAATAAATATGCAACTATTTGTTTTGTGATGTTCAATGTACGAATTGTATATTTTTAATAAGTAACTGACATTACCTAACACATATGTATTTGAACTATGCTTACAGGATCATGAATGTCAACTTCAGTTAATATGAATTTTAACTAGATCTATGTGATACTAAAACATTAGGATTATATAAAATTTGGTTTTATGAAGTGTTCTTGAAAGAAATCATTTTTAAAAAATGGATATCCTAAAAGCAGAGATAATGAAAAAACGTAAACAATTAGAGGAAAGCAATGTTCTGGTAATTTTTATAATTGTATCATTGTGTTTTCTCAGTGTCAATATTTTTTTCTATTCATCAAGTATTGGTGTTACAGCAGAATAACAAAAAATATTTCAAAAGAAGTGACTTAATATCAAAAGATACAGAAATAAAGGAAGTGCTAAAGAACAGTGATAAAGATATGAACATAAGCATAACTCAACAACAAGAGGAATGTGTAACGGATGGTAGTTCTGAGCATTTAACTTTACCTAGACATGAAGTGATTAAAAGATTACGTGAAAGGAGTGAACCTATATTCCTATTTGGAGAATCAGAGATAGAAGCGTTTAAACGATTAAGAAAATGTGAAATTCTAGAACCTGAAGTAAACAAGGTACTTAAATTTATGCCTTATTGAATGTATTTAAACAATCTAAATGTTTATCTATGTAATTATCTACTTTATGAAATTTATTATCTGCATGCAAAAGTAATATGTATTCAACCAAAGGGTTTCAGAAATGACTTCCAAGAAGCAATGGAACAAGTGGATCAGGCATATTTGAATGAGATATTGGCTTCTTCAAAACCACAGGATCGCAATGGAAAAGGAGATGTACATGTACCAGATGAGGGAGTTACCTATGAAGACTTACAGAAGATGTCTGTTAAATTAAACAAGGGTGACAGGGACTTTGATTTAAATGTCATTACACAATTCATACAATTCTTAGTGCAAATGTGGGGTAATCAACTAAATAGTAGAAGTACTGCAGAAAAGATGAGTACTAGAGGAAAAATGGCTAGTGCAACTTATGCCCAAACCAGGGAGTATCTGAAACCACTTCTTAGAAAATTAAAAAATAAATCTTTACCAGAGGATATTACTGATAGTTTAACTGACATAGTCAAACATTTACTGGAACGCAATTATATACTGGTAAATGCACAGATTAATATATTATACGATTTAAGGACAAAAAATTTAATCAAAATAATTTATTACAGGCAAGTGATGCATACTTACAAATGGCTATAGGAAATTCTCCATGGCCTATAGGAGTAACTATGGTCGGTATTCACGCGCGTACTGGAAGAGAAAAGATTTTCTCCAAAAATGTGGCTCACGTAATGAACGACGAAACTCAAAGAAAGTATATTCAAGCATTGAAAAGATTAATGACTAAATGTCAAGAGTATTATCCAACAGATCCGTCTCGCTGTGTAGAATATTCAAAGACATAATATTTACATGTAATATATACAAATAAGTATACATTATAAAATGTAACAGTACATGTTAATTTTATATTTAGTTTATTTTTACTACTGTCACAGGTGCATCATAGTATATGTAAAGTTAATGAATTCTAGAGCTATACTGAGGAACTTATTTCATGTATTTAAATATTTCCATTTTACTATTTAAATAATATCATACTTTGCTTTTGTACTATTGACCTCTTCAGGCAATTTCATGTTGAAAATGCTTACTGAAATGCATTATAAATAAAATGATGCCACTTTGTTATCCCATTTTTTATATACTTCAAACATTCCTTGTACCAAGTTTTATTTTGTCTTTGACGACAATTCGTTTGACTTCTTCACTGCAGCTTCAACTGCATTCATCATAGATGCTCTAAAAATACATTTAAAATAATACTAAATAAATATTACTTAATATTATCGTTTATACCTTGACTTTACCTGACTTGACCACATTCCATGGCATGAATTCCTGTAATGGTTGTACCTCCTGGGGAGCACACTTCATCCTTTAACTGACCAGGATGTCTACCTGTTTCTAATACCATTTTACCAGCTCCAACTAATACTTGAGCTGCAAATTTTGTTGCCATGGGTCTTGGAACACCCATTTTAACTGCACCATCTGCTAATGCTTCTATAACAAGATATGCCTAGGAATTTTATTTTATATATTAAGCTTGTTCTAGACGTTTAATAGGATTAGAAAATGGTCGAATTTTTATTTGACTTACATAAGCAGGACCAGAGCCTGAGAGACCACCCACAGCATTCATAAGAGATTCAGGAATGCTTTCAGCTACACCAATGTAAGACAATAATGTTTCAATCATGTCTACATCTCCATTTGTTGTGTTCAATGAACAATATACTAGAAATTATACTAATATAAAATCATTATGATTATTATTTTTATATTTCTATGCGCAGTCTTCATTTACCTGTTATTCCCTCACCAACCATCATTGGAGTATTAGGCATGCATCTAATTATTCTAGGATGTTCCACAATATGTCTGAGTTTCTAAAAGCATTCCCAAATTATGTAAATATCGTTATCATGTCCCTTTTTATTCATTTCTATACTTTTAAAAATATTGTTGATATTATTTAATTCTTACATAAGCTAGACTATCTAATGGAATGCCCACAAGCACAGAGACAAAAAGTGGTGAATGTTTATGTGACCTTGTTGCATTTAAGCTGTCAAGTGCATCTTCAAGCATGTGTGGTTTCATTGCTAAAAATATAACATCACAATTGTCGAATACTTCCCCATTTTTTAACGTTGCATGAGCACCTAGATCACTCCAAAAGCCCAATGTTCGATTTGTACGTGCAGAAACCCAAACATTGTTTGCTTTCAAAATACCTGTAAAACGAAAGTAATTGTGTTAATTGAATTCATTTAAAATTTTATCATTTGTAAAATAACTTGGAAAATCTATACCTTTCCGAATTAAACCAGCACCAATGGCACTTGCCATATTTCCACCACCAATGAAACCAATTTTGGTTGATTCAAAATTATATTTTGCCATGTTTATATGCACATGTATCTGACAAAAGATTTAAATTAAAATAATATGTGCCAATTATTATTAAGTGTATGGAATATATTTTTTCTAATTTGTATATTCTTTTTTTATTGTCTGTGCACAATTGAGCAGCTTGTTTATTAATGATTAAACCCAATTTTAATTGATCGTTTGTGAAATATTTTTTTTTCTATCTGGTATAGGTAATAGAATAACGGAATTTATTTTGGTTTTTTATCCTCTTCTGGAAATAAAACTATCGTATGCGTTTCACAGAATGTGTTCGGAACATTTTTGAATTATTGCTTGGAGAAAAAAAGAGACTGTCACGAAGTATGTAAAAAAAAAATAATAACCACCAATACCTTAATAAACTTAAGGGAAGTTATGAAAAATTTGTTGTTGAATTATTTAATAATAAATATAAAAAACGAAGAATATATTTCTGTAAATACAGTCATTTTTATATTTTGTATGTGTTCATGATGTATGACGAGTTTATTTAATACCACATGAATTAAATAGTATTGAGTGTTATTTGTATCGACGATTAGATATTTTCTAAATTATGAATTACACTGCCAAATAAAATAACCTATTTACTATTTTACTATATACTTTAACAGAGTATATAGTATCTGATATTATCAGCAAGTATCAGAGAGAAAATGAGTGCTCACGCCCGGGAATTCGTTGTTGCCGGGCAAGTGCTGCACCAAACAGTCATTCAAGTACTGAAATAAATGTTAAACCGAATGTTAATTTGGTACAAATTTCAGTAATTCCCGATACCAAGTGGTAGGAAGTTTTTCTTCCACGCCATATTTTCCCCTAGTGAAAGCCGAGTTTGCCCGTAGGGTACATACAATGCCAGGGTGGAACCAAAACGAGTAGATTCCTACTATTATTCCAGAATTGGCCACTTGATGCAGCACTTGCCCAGGAACAACGAATTCCCGGGCGTGAGCACTCTAATTTTCTCTCTGATAGTATATTACATGAATGTATACATAAGAGAGAAAATAAATAAATGTCTGCCATGCCTTTGTTTGTAATATTAACCCTTACGATTCTATTTAAATATATACGAGGTTGTGTTCATTACATTGCATGGACGTATGCGGCTTGAAATTACAGATGACGATTAATTGCTTCTTATCGTCTTAAGAAAATCTCTTAAGTACGAAATCGTCTGATATAATATATGTGACATGCTACAAGTTTGGTCAAGTTTATCTAGAAATATATCATAAGTCAGGTTTGTTACAATGGGGAATTGTATACGGAGTTTACTGAAAAGATTACAAAAGAGGAGACTCTCCGAAAAGTAATATATATATATATATATATGTTAAAAGGTATTATCAAAGGGTGATATATGTTGCATATTTAACGAGAATATGTTTTTAGAATCATTATTATATTAATTGTTGGCCTTGATAATGCGGGTAAAACATCTATTTTGAATCGCATAAGCGGCGGTACGTATTTAATCATTAAAAAATACATTTCTTTGTTAAAACTGTTAAGTAAGTCCACAACTGTCAGTTTCGATTAACTAAACGTAATTAACATCCCTGGACAAGTAACACATAACAACGATTCTTAATATCTTCATTTACTATAAAGGATAGTTCATACAACTGGCTCAAGTCATATCTATTTTTTTTATTATAATTCTATTCAATTTTTTATACAATTCGCAAAAAAAAAATAGTTTGTCAGAAGTAACAACACTTTCAACACAATATATATAATATTATTAGAAACAACTGTTGTTTCCTTCGAAGCTGATAGAACCTTTGTATTCCGCTAATAATCACAATTATTGTAATGTTACATGTAGGAGAGTTGAAGTTTTTAAAATGTATATAAACAACATACATTGTTTTAGATTCAGACAAAAATGTATTACCTACAATAGGATTTCGAACAGTTTCTTTAAAGTACAAATCTTATACAGTCAAACTTTATGATATTGGTGGTAATTCCCAAATCAGATCCTTGTGGACAAAGTATTACAGTGGTGTAAGTAATTACTAAAATATTCCTAAATATTCCAACAATTAGAACTACATTTTGTAGAAATTTAATAATTTCTTTCTTATATGTGCTCTTGATAATAGAACAAAATTCTGAAACATTCCTGTCTCTCCATTTTGCATCTTTTAGATACATGGTCTTATATATGTGGTGGACGCTAGTGATATTTCCCGTCTTACAGAAAATAAAGTTGTATTTGGTGAATTAATTTCACATGAATGTATTTCAGGGAAACCATTATTATTGTAAGAAAGTTGAATGTATTTTTTATGCTTGCATATTTTCTTTTAGTCACAGAACACCATTTACTGATACAATTAAATTTGCACAAAATATATTTATGTGCGATGTTCACACTATATTTCTGTTAATAAAATCGTATTGTATATCTTATTATAATGCATTCCTGTAATAGGCTTGCGAACAAGCAAGATGTAAACGGAGCTATCGATGAGTTAGATCTCGTCGAAAACTTGGACATAGAACATGCTGCTAATACTATGAAATGCCCCACAAGAGTGGAAATATGTTCATGTATAGAGGGAGAAAGTCAATTAAAAGATAGCACTATAGGCATCAAGAATGGATATAAGTATGTGATTAAGTTTCTGTATTAATTAGAAACCTTGATAGAGCTCATTTTTAACTCACAGTAAACAATATATGCAGGTGGCTATTGGATACAATAGTAAGAAATTACAATGTATTGAACAATAAACTTAAGGATGCACAAAATAATCAAACAGTAAGAATGACTGAAATACAAGATACAGTATCCGATACATCATCAAGAATATCAATTCATTCCAATCCATTTAAACCGATCAAAGATTTAGTCGCGAAAAAGGTAAAAGACTTTTCATTTCTAACTTTCTATTGAGCGAAGAAACACTTTACCATTTCACTTGTTACAAATTTTAGGAAGAAATTCTGCCAACAAATGTTTCACACAACGGTATGTAACATTTAGATACAAGACTAATTAATAAAACTTATTTGTGACATACAAAATGTTTACAGGGGTTGTTGGTAGAAATAAGTTAAACAAAATATTCATGCATAGAAACAAGACTGCTCCACTTACCACTGAAGAATCAGTTATTGAACTTGGTGATGTGTCTGGAAATTCTAAGCTTGCTAGTAAGAATTTCGATGTCCATGAGAATGTTCAAAATCTTTCACAAACGTTAAATCCAGTGATACTGAATGCATTCTCAAATACAGTTACGTCGAAATCAAATCGTCCATACACAGCGCCAGGACGTTCACAACATTTTTTCAATAAAGTAACAGTAATTAACATCCCTGGACAAGTAACACAAGAATGTATATATATATATATAATACATTTTTAGTAATTTATTTTATTTTTGACGAAAAACCGACTGATAAACACTAAGAAATACTTAATATATGTTGAACAATTACACCTAACTTAAAAATAGAGTAAGACAGCTATTAGCATTGTTAATTTTATATTATCTGACTGTATCTATACGCGTGACAAAATAACAAAAATAAACAGTTCTAAAAAAAAACCATTATATGTGTATAATTTATATGAAAATATTGTTTGTATTCTAACTTTATTTTATAAGCTTGCATACAAGTTCATGTACACAATAGTTTCACAAATATATGGCTTATGTATTAAGGACTTATAAGTTCTATAGTATAAAGGTATTAAAAAATTTTAGATTATGCGATAGTATGAAACTTCATACAAAAATGCTGTAACGGCTTAAGCATATATTATCAGCATATACTTTATCACAATTTACAATACAATAAACATTGTAAATATTCTGCAACATCGTCTTATATCGTTGAGCAATTACTTTATAACATTAAGTAATAGACTCTACTTCGTTGAAAGATCATACTGGAAATTGCTATAATAAGAAACAATGTACTTCACACTAAAGTAAGGATAATAAACATTTTCGAACGAAGTACTTTCTATAAATCACACATCACACATAAATACAGCAATAAAGGCATAGTGGTCAAATAATCAGAAGCAACATTAATATTGTAAAATCGAATTAGTAAGTATTTAAAAATTGCATACTTTTCTTTTGAAAGACTGTTATATCACGATATCAAAAGTTTTCATAGATTACACTAATGCTATTTCAATTACACATATAGCAATTTGGTCATATTAGTATAGCATTTTTTTTTTCTCTAAATTCTAATCTACAAAGCAACATAACTCTTCATATTCGAGCTAGCAATTCCAAAAGTATATGCATATTGCGTTTTTTCTTCTAATAATCTAGGTACAGTGTAATTGTTCCTTTCTTATTGATAGATAAAACTTAAATATTCGTTGTAATTGCACCTTATATAATCACAACTACTTCACTCAGGCAATTAATATTTAGCTACACTAAATTGAAAATATTTCATTTTTTTTTTAAATGTAAGATAGACTATTGCTTGTTGCGAAAAGACACAAGTTTTGTCCTCTTGACATTTTGTACAAAGCAGCAGGCATATTACATTTATCAATTTGTTCAATTGTTCTCATATGATGGCTAAAAATACATTTTTGTAAATATACATCACAAAACTGTATAGATAGTATACAAAATTACTTTTCAAATTTTGCTTGAAAACAGCAATCACAAAGGCATTCAGTTCGTATTATTACAGACGAGATATAAGAATAGCCCTAACACCTTATGAGGCTTGGTGTCCCACGAAAATCACGCTGGTTAGAGCGCACCTCTACATAAAGGTTTCTGATATCAGGAATTACATTCGACACTGTGATAACGCACAGCACACACACACCCGTGACTGCTATTATTGCCCCGGTTTCGCTAGCAAGGAATGGAATTCTGAAATGGTATGGGGGCTTCTGACGCCCCCGAAGTATGGGACAGAAAATTACATTGCATGTTAGGTGTATCCTTATATCTCGTCTGTGGTATTATATACGTATTCGATCGATGCATCCGAAATGTTTTACTTTTTAGCGCCACCTAATATTTTAATCAATGTTAAATGAATTTTATTAGTCAAATTAACATTGTGTACATTTCTCAACTGAACACAATTATATTTATACCATTATTATTCAAAACTATAATCTTAGATGCATTTATTATTTCAAAACATTTAAAAGATAGCTGGACTACACTATTTTACTTTATCAAACAATAATCCCTTAAGGAGGTTTACTGTCGATACAAGTGATCTCATAAAATATAGACACTAAGGTTTAATATAGTATGCAAGTGGTGCTTACTGTTAATAATTTTAATCGATCAAGGCGTCATCAAATGCAAATACCAATCTGTAAAGCTGATATTTCATGTGCATCGATTTAATATAACACTGCTGTCTTATTGTAATTTTGTACTTATTTTATAGCTTACTTATTATAATATGTTGAGTATGTCTCAATAAACTTTCATATGACCACTATTACATCCACTCTAGCTTTATAATTGCTTAAAAATGACCACAGATTACAAATACAGATTTTTATCATTATAAATCTCCAATACAGGTATAAACTTCGTGAAAGATAGAAGATTTTTGAGATTTTTTCTTAATTTGTACAAATACAAAAGTTTCAAAGTACTATAAAATCTATTATATCATATTGCTATAATGTTTTGTCTTACAGTACAACTTTTGCAAAATATAATGGCAGTTTCCATAAAGTAAATGCTATTATTTAAATGCAATATGCTACAATCACACTACTAAATGGGAGCAGCACAGGCAGAATATCACCATTTAACCCCCAACAGCAGTGCAATCATTGCTATAAAGGTACATACTTTATAAAATCTACTAATCTTGTATAAAAATCTTATGTATAAAACGACTATACCATTCCATTTTTCGGAGACGTGAATTTTACCAAGCGAGTTAACATTGATGTAATGCATGGTATTTGTTTCTGTTGATGCATTGTTATGTTATCGGGAGTATTGGACTCAAAGTCGATAGCAACTCGTTGACAAACAAACGTGAGTAAAGTCAACAGGTCATATCGTGTACCGTTTTCACGTAATTCCAAGCATAGTGCTTGCATGAACCATGAACCGCGAGTGGTATTTCTCCACGAATAAAAACCTATAACATGTATAATTGTTGTATGCATAGAGAATACACAATAGATTGCAAATTTTTATGCAAATTTAGGGGAAAGCATGGAAAGTATAGAAAACCCAATTTCTCCCATTAAAGGTTAAAGGAGGTTCGAAATAAAATCAAAATGCTAATTAAATTTTACTAAGTTGTTTGCTTAATTGTGTTCAGAGGATTTAAATTTATTATAAATGCATAAAATCTTTTATGTATTTCTAAGCAATGAATAATATAGTGAACCAATTGGATTACGAAATAAGAAAAATATTACATCGAAGACAAAATACAGTAATGGGTCCTTAAACGTTCAGCCAAGTTGGTGCTTTAAAAATTTCTGTTTTATTTCTACTACTGAGGGGTTTCCTTTTGGAACCAGTCAAGCAAATAATGTAGGCCGCGGCTTTAGTTTTACAAGTTGATGGCTCAAAGTTTGTAAGTCAAAAAATAGATTAAAAGCCTGCATGTATCGGCAAGACAACACTCTTATTCTTCATGCTTTGTCAATGAAAATTTCATTAACATATTGGCGAGTTTTTCTTAATTAAAATGGGACTAAACACAGTATAATTTGGATCATTTCCACTTTATCATGAGCAATAACTCATATTCTTTCATTTTGGTTTCTGATAAATTAGAAATGATCCAAATTACATTGTGTTTGGTCTCATTTCAATCAGACAAATCTCATCAAAATGCTAATAAAACTGCCACCATCAAAGAAGCAAGAATAAAAAAGTTTCATCGTTGCATTACTGTTGTCTTGTGAATACACAGGCATTTAAGTCTTAGTCAGCTACCTTGATGCTACATCTATCTTTCTTCTCCATTCGTTGTCCTTTTCTGCGACCATCACAGTCGTCAAAATACAAAGATGAGCTACTAAGCCTAGACCCAAAATTTATGACGTGCGAAAAGCAATTTGGCACCATAACAGTTGCAAAACAGACCCTAAGTTCACGTGTTAAAGGGAGCTTTACTATAACTGGTATTTTTAAACAATGCATACCTGGTATTGTTGAATAAGCAATTAAAAAATCTGCATGAGATGGTATACGGAATGAAGAAGCTGGCTGACCATCAGTTTCTGTCCGGTCTTTCAATGTTATACCAGCATCTAATCTATCTCCTTGGCAAGCTTGTATGAAAAATAACTTTGGTTTTCCAGCAAGTGTTGGACATTTATCAGCCATAAAATGACCCCAGATAGAGTCTGGTTTGTACGAAGTATCATGAGCATAAAGTAATCCTAACTCTCCATGGCTTAATACAGCTACAATCAGGCAGTCATGTTGAGAGTGATCCATACTGGCAACTGCAAAATCAAAATAATTATTTTATTAAAATCTATTCAATGCTGCCTCGGTTTGGACATTCAAATTTAAAATTCAAAGAGGAAGTTTAAAATTATAAAAGGGTAAACATCTACTGAGTACCTCTTTCTAAATTTCTCACTATATCTTTATGTGTTGAATTATGAAAATCATTTACTTCGAAACCAAGACTTCTCAATGTATTGACAAGATTATCACAATCCACATTTGTTCCAGATCTTGGTTTCAGATGTGAAATAGTGAAAAATTCGTGATTAAAAATAATAGCAAATCCACGTTTTGAATGATTCATGTTATAATGTGTGGCATAACGTTCTGTGGGTGCCGTTTGTAAAGGGCCCATGAGGGGACTGACGCTGTTTCTGTAAAAGAAAAAGCATGCCTAATATTTGGATACATTTAACTAAACATTAACTCATTACACACCAAACACAATATGAGAATAACACAATTTTTATGATTTGCGGATTATTTATTTTTTAATTAATGGTACCTATCATAAACAATGCTCGTTAATACTTAAACATTTATAATATTTAATTGTAGCTTGCGAATAAATGATAACGGTTTATCTATTTTGATTACTACCCCCGTACCCTTTGTACCTAACAGTACAAAGCATAAAATCCGTGTAACAAAAGAAAAATATATTCTTACTTGATAATAGAAATGGATAATCCGAACTAAGTTTAACAGTTCCATGCAATCATGTTACAATTATTGGTATTTACAATATGGAAAATAACGAAAAAACATCAAGCACATTGGTATTCTTTCTATACAGTACCCCATACTGCCCTATGGATGTTGTACATTTCACACAATCAAATCATACCTGGAATATCCGAAAGCATCTCCCACATCATTACTAATTATTATGCTATCAGTTGCAGTATCAGCTTCCGTTGAACACATGATTTCACTTTTCAAAAGACTTGTACAGTTAAAGGAACAATATTTGTTATAGAAATCTCTTCAATCACAGTTCACTCGTGCAGTAAAACTTTAGTAAACGACTGGTAATGACGCACTACGAGTAGTACGAACGCGCGTCATGGAGTGTCACTACGGTCACCGGTCACTACGGTCATAGTCAGGTAAGTCAGGTCGTATACACGGATACACGGCATATACAGGCGGGGGGTGATCCTGTAAGCCCCGTAAGGAATGGTCCCATTCCTAACTTCATGACTGAACCATAAGACCGTAGTGCCCTCGCTTCGTGGCAAAGTTTGAAAATACACTTGGCGTCTTTAAGGGATCACACCCCACCACGGGAGTTTTAGGACCTGTGTATACAATCGCGGTGAACACCAATTAAAACATTTCAAATATTACATATAATCGATGGTAGCGCCATCACAGCAATAGAATCGTAATTTTCAAACATTTAAAATTTAATTGTTGTATTATAAAATTTTAATTTAATTTTTGTTTATACGATCATATACAGACTTTTGTAAGTTACGAAAACTGAAATCAGACAACATTTTTATGCTATTAAGGCTATCATCAGATTTTAAATAAAATAAAAACCTCATTAAACTTTTCTTTACATAAGTTATAGGCACGTATAACCACTAGACCTATCATCCAATGCTCTTTTTTGTCCCATGTTCGGAGGGCTACGTAACCCTCTTACCATTTCAGTGCCAATACCCGACGTTACTGATAAAGCATGAATTCTGAGTATTATTAGCACAAATGGAGCATTATATATTCCATTCATAATATGTGTGTCCAATATGATTTGGTGGGAATAAAAATATCCGATGCTTCGGTTTAAAAGATGAATATTGTAATACTGATGAATTATGATAACTTATTCTAAATTTCATCGTTAATGAACATTTTAGCAATGTTACGTTTCCCATGTTCCCTTTTTATTCGTTTTTATATTTTTTTTATCTGATAACGTGATATAAGAATCCTAATACGCACAATCAATTACCTTCTAGTAATTGGTGAGGAAGTAATTAAACAATGAACTTCGACCCAACTAGAGCTCAGCTAGTCAAGCTTTCTTCATGAAAAATAGTTTTGATCTATTATTTAACTGGTAATATCTATTGTATTGTATTTCATAAACTTTGGCATCATTGTCAAATTGACAGGATATATTTATCATAGATGGCGTTAGAGAACCATTGGAGGATTGAAAACTTCGAGAAGACGAGAGTAAAATTAATACTTTCGATCTATTAGGAAGTGGAATATCACATTTTCGGGGATAGTGTGTGTCTCTTTGTTTCCCTTTCATGATAGTCATTCCCTCCTGAATTAATCTCGGGTGCATATAAGAAAATATATTGAAATATAATTCGGCGGTAAATATTCTATTTCGTTCAAATAGAAAGTTGAGCAAGCAGGAAAGCGACCAATCCTCACGTTCTTCACCAACCGACGCACCAATCACAGGCCTTATACATAACCGAATCAACCAATGACAGCCAGTCAGCCAGCCTAACGGTCATTCGTCTCAGGGAAGCTGGACTGATTAGACGTGTAGTGATCTCGCTCGTGGCGAAGTAAGTATTATTACTTTTCACTTTAAATTATTTATGCTATTAGTATCTACATTACCACTCTATCGTTACATTTGTTTAGTATCTATTCAATTCAATGCAAATAATCGTAAATTAACTCGGTATTGCTGGATAAAGTGAACTGGTTTCACGATTTCTGTTCTCTCCCGGTACCAATTAGTATTTACGCAGTTTTTGTTTAATTTGCAATCTTTAGCGATACTCTTTGAGTCAATAATTGTTTCGTTGTGACTCAGTCATTGTTAATTTAGTATAATTACTTGGTATTAACGTTTATTTTCTGTTCCAGAATTCCGGCTAGAAAGAACGCGCCAACGATGCCAATCCCATTAGACGCAATTTGGCGGGAAATTGGTGAATTCTGGTGATGTATTACAACAAAATAGTTAATATTCCACTAGATATTTTTATTTTAGTACACTTTTACTGTTTTGACCGTAAACTTGATCGCGATTTTCTGATTAACTGTGCTGAAAGCAAACAAGAATTTTTTCGAGAAATATTTCGCGTTCAAACGCAATTGAAGCATTCAATATGGCTTCTTGTTTGACCATTAGGAAATTTAAACGGGAATGTTCCAGAAGTTTCAATTCGAAATACTCATAGTTTACTGGATCTCGGTCGCGAAATTGTTTAAATTTTAATAATTTTTCGAGTTTATCATTACGATGTCATCGTATTTGTATTTATATACGGTTTCGGGTGTAAGTTTAATTATACATATAGAAGCTGCGTAGTTTACGATGCTCATCGAAGCTTAAGTAAATAACGAAGCTTTAATCCTTGCAACGATTTTCTCAATATTTATAAAATTCGGTACGCGATGTAGACAGAAATAACGAACATTCTTAAACTCTAACGACGAATGTCTTCAATATAATATATTAATAACAAATATATATCAGTAATGAATATAATATATTGAAACAATGGAGAATTATTTTGGAATATTTTTTAACTATGGTACCTTTGCGTAGTTAAATTCATATTTGAATATTTATCGTCGAATGACAGTATTTTCATGATAAAAACACTTGGTAAAATATAAAAATAAAAGGGCTAAGCCGGTGCACGTGCGCCGTATTGTATTTCTTTCCCCCCTTTTTTTTCCACAGTATTTGGTGGCCGCGTGCAAGGCGGTCGAGTCGAGTCAGTGTTTGTTTACATCGAAGTTTTTTCTGTTTATGCGGAGCGAACTGGCGCCGATTAGGATCTCACCGGAGATGTATTATGGTCTTCGCGGAACTAGAGTCAGTGTTTGTTGCGTACAATCTCAAATTATTTTCAGAGTTTCGGGACACTCTTTGCTTTGTGTGTCGCGAAAGTAGAATCATTTGTTCGCCGGTTGAGATTTTCGGTCGCGATAGTTTTTTATTTTCATTTTTTTTCTACTTGAAAGTACTCGTTCGCGAAAGTAGAGTCAGTGCATCACTGAAGTGGATTTTTGGGCGAAGCTCTACAAATAGAGATTGTAAGTATCCTTATATTTTATTACTTACACTGTTCAACTGAAACAGCTAGAGTTTTGAGAAGAGGTTATTACGTGTTCTGTTCCTTTGTTTCAGATTTATCAGATGCTGCATAAACAAACACTGCAGAGGATGTCCTCGGGCGAAGCTGCACCATTTTTCAAGATTCGTCGAGAGAGAATATTAAAGGGAGCCCTTCAGTCATCGGGTGAGTGAATGTTTTTATTCCTCCAGTCCCCAATCATGTCGTAGGACGATTGGTCCGAAACGGCACGGGCGACTGGTTGTATACGTGCTTTTGGCGAGTACAGTGACAACGGATATGCAATCGTACGATTGCAGATCCGCGAGTAATATATGATCTGTTATGTTTCTTAGTTAGGTTAAGGTCTTCTTGTACGCCGCGTTTATTATTAGTAACATAATTCATAACTATTTTGTATTAAAAGAGTATGAGTTGAATATTTAATGTTCGGTTTAAAGGTGAACATCATACAGATGAAATCACATTGGTTATGATGTACTTTCTTTAAGTGTTCAATTTAACATGAGATATTAATCTTGGATATTTCAATAGAGATCATTCTATTGTTTAAATAGTTATTTTTTTATTAATTGAGTATATATTGAGAACGTGGTAGTACGTTATTTATTTCACTAGAAATGATTTTCACTAATGATGATATGTGCAATAATTTCAGTATAGTCATTTTAATACAGTCGTTTGATATCATTTATGAATGTAGAACGAAATACGATCTACGTAAGGAAAATTGCAGAACATAGAAAATACAATATATTCGCAATGGTCTATACATAACGGTCAGCTGATTAAAAGAATAATAATCAACTTGTTAACGTGTGAAATAAATATCAACCGTAGATTCGAATATAGAGTAGAAAGAACAGAAACCACACCGGTATGTTTAAAATAGAGGGGAAAACGTGGTGGTGCCTTCTTTGATAGGCATGTTATAGCAGTTAGCGCAATACCACGAGACGCGACAGCACGTTTCAATCCCGGAACCAGTGTCGCGAGACACAAAGGTATCATTCGTATTTGCAAGTTCCATGAAATAATGGAACACGTGTACTGGGAATCGCGATAAAGTATCGGTGCATAAAAAGAAGACGTATTAAGTTATGTCACCTGTGCATCGATATGCACGACCTAGTGAAAAACCGCGTGTTATGGAACAATTTAACACGTTGTGCATGTATGACCATTGAACAGTGCATTGTGATTTCCAGTTATCGTGGCCGGTGTTTTCGTTGCCAATGGCAAAGAACGCATACGGTTGCGTACACGGGTAGAGTACCGAGACGTACTGGCGTGTACTCACGTCCACTTTAATGGAGTGTGAGCGTTAAATGCAGGGAAGGTACTACTGTGTTTCACCAGCATGTATAGTGTTCCACAAACATATTTGTATGGTCGACGTATATACTCAGAAGGAATGAGTATTTATATTCTGTCCTTTAAAAAAGGGCAGGCCCAGAGGTGTCCATCTACTCTTGCGAGCAGCATTCTTTCCCTCCGGAGGTACCCTGACTATGGGACTTGGATTGACTCGCTCGAGTCAATCTGAGGTCGGTAGTCGGGGAAACCTACGAGGGGAAGCTTGTAATTGCTTGTAGCTCGTGGGCGGCATTTGGACACCTTTGGTATTAGAGTTAATTTTTATGATAATTAGTATTTAATAAAATTTTATTTCACCCATTAGTCTGTTAATTATTATTTTCAACAGTTATACCGTCATTTGTAGACAAATAACTAAATGAATATAACTTAAATTTATTTACTATTTGAATACAGTATATAATATATCAGTTTACTTGAGAATATGCAATTCTAGATTAACAGTTTGTACTGAATTATATCAGAAATACGTACTACCACGTTGCTCTAAGACATAAATAAAAATTAAGTAGTGTATTTTGATACACTAAACAAAATGATATTACAGACCATGTACAAGAAGGCGTTTCGCGACGGGTAGATT